TTTGTCCACTGGTATGTTGGAGAGGGAATGGAGGAAGGAGAGTTCTCTGAGGCCAGAGAAGACATGGCTGCCCTGGAGAAGGATTATGAGGAGGTTGGTACTGACAGCATTGGAGAGGACGATGAAGAGGGAGAGGAATACTGAGGGGTCCTATCCACACATTCCAAACATTGCTCTTAACTTAACACATTTCCAGCAACAATTTATGCAATAAAATCTGTGACTAATTTGTCATGGTTATCAATAAAGTTCTGAGGAATGTTTTAAACAAACTTGTGGTGTTTCTTTAACTGTTTGAGGAGAGTGCAAAATATAATTTTGGAGTGTAATTTTCCACAAAACAGTATACGATAATAACATCTTTACAAATCAATATTTTTCATAACCATGCTAGACCAAAAAAAAAAAAAAAAAATGAAAGTACACTAATATCATGATGAAAAGTAATTTGTAAAAATCAACCTGCCTGAACACCTAAAATCAACAACAATGTCCAAACATAAAATATAACAAGTTATAAAACTGATTGTTTTTTACTCATTCATAATGACAAGTTCTGTGTGATTTTAGTTTTTTTGTTGTAAGTTTAACTTTCTTACAACAAATTTTAGTTTTTTTGTTGTAAGTTTAACTTTCTTACAACAAATCATGCCTCTCTTCCAAAGTTAATTTAGTTTATGAACTTCTAGTATTCAGTGTGTTAAGCCATGGCTTTTGTAGTTACATATGAGATCCAGCAGGTGGCAGCAATGTAACCATAGAGTAAGGTTGAGTAAATTATGTTATTTTTTTATTTTATTGTATTACAGTTTACTAAATGTACAGTAGTGGTTTGTCACTGACACCTCTGCATGAAAAGCACTTTATATAAGTTTAAACATTTGTGGATCACACAATTTATTAACCTATTATTGTGAAAATATGAGTATCTAAACAGTCAATATAAGAAAAATATTGTGCGGATTTTTTAAAATGTTTTATTTAAAATTTAATTGTCCAATCTTCATGACTGTAATGAGTACCTTCAACTTTAACACAGAAGTTAGGGTTATTTCACCTCATCAGTTCTATTGCATTCTGCCATAATGTCTGGAATTTAAAAAAAAGTAATAATTTGATAACAAATGTTTATTATGTGTATATAAGTACCTATAATCCCGGAGAATATCACAAATCGCGTTCTCAACGCTCACCAGTAGGACGCTGCAAGTGGGCGGGGCTAAATGACGTAGTCCAAACGATGGCACATTCTAGAGACATGGCGTTTGTTCCTCACCAAGCGCGTGCATTTTAGAATCAAAGCGGTACGCGCTCCAACCGGAGCTGTCTGCATTTGTGTTTACCAACTGGAAACACCGAAGCAGAGCCTCGACGGTCCCTCGCATCGGACAATAGACCTGAGCCCGCGTATTTGAGACGCTGAAGGTGGGAGGTGGCTGTTCAGCAGAGACGAAGAGAAACAGACCCCCAAAGGCTAAACTAATAACTCACGGCTAAAAAGAGGTGGACGAGCGGCTGAAAAACACTCGAGCGGTAGGTGTTCTGATAGCTACTGTTAGCCATAGCTAACCAATGCTAATGCAAACAGTAGTGAAGTCTAACTTTACTATAAATGGAGTCAGAAATGTTAACTGCGCCTCCAGCTACATCTGCTGTGTTTAGGTTTGTTTGGGCTTACTGACGAGTCGGCTGCAGTGTCTCGGTACTAGAAATAACTTGTCTGCTCCAGAGGGGGTTATAGAAAGTTAATATTAGTTGTTTTACCTCAGTTGGGAAGTCCCCCCTGGGCTGAAGCTGTTGCAGACAACTAATAAGATTGGCATGATGGCTAAGATGTCAGTAAAGCAGCTGGGAGTATTCAGGTTTTACTTTCTATTAAAAAAAAACGTGTGCTTAATAAACACACACTCCTTTGAAACCGAAATAAAAACGTCCTCAAAAAAGTATACTGTAGTTAAAGAAAGCCATTTTTGTTGTTTTATTGTTTAAGAATGATTACCACCTTTTTTTTTTTTACTTTCTAGTTTAAATTAAATTACCTAATTAAGGATTGTGACTAGTATTTTCATCTCAGTTAAGTATTTTTAAGTGAAGTGAAATGTATTTATAAAGCAGTTGTAAGACAGCAGCTGATACCAAAGTGCTTTTAAATATAATCAAGTCTAAACAGTTCCAGTTGCATTGCTGCCATACTGTCTTCAAATGACTGGGAAACAATTTTCAAGTGGTTAAAATCATAGTGATGGGTAACAAGTTATTGCTGGTTTAAAGTCCATCTATCCATCCGTCCATCCACAAGTTCTTCACAGGGACACATAAACTACCATTCACTCTCGCCTGGGACAATTTAGAGTTACCAACCAGCCTAACGTGCATGTTTTTGGTCTGTGGGAGGAAACCAGAACACCTGGAGAAAACCCACACATGCACAGAGAGAACATGCAAACTCCACCCAGGAATGCCCTCTGACCAGGATTTGTTCTTCCAAAAAAAAAAAAACTTTATAAAACTAGGCAATTTTGTGTTCCCATAAAAAACATCTAATGCAGTGTTTGCAATTGACATATTTACGTTGATGCACATTGATGATTGTTTCCGAGACACAAATATGCATTTAAAAGACCGACTGTGACCAAGTGTGTAGTTTGTGGGACCTTTGAGTAAAACAAAAGAAGCGTTGTTTCTATTTCTGCATTTGTCACCGTTCGTGTTTAGGCATCGATCTCCCGTGCTTTTACTGAACGTGTGTGTTTTTAAGGACGTAATTCAGCTAATGCAAAAGGTCGGACTTGAGTCACCGATCAGAACTTGCTTGTATTTCAGAGTGGTGTTCTGAGGAGGCGACATGGTGGATTACTATAACATCCTGGGAGTTCCCAGAACAGCCACGCAAGATGACATCAAGAAGGCGTAAGTATCCTTAGATTATTTGCAGTCATTGGAATGATCCCAACAAATGAGGTATAAAACAGACTTGTTCATTCTGCCTTTTGGAGTTTTAGACTTTAATTTAAAAAATAAACATGCTAACACTTTAAAAATGTCAACACACACACAAAAACAGATTTTTTTTTTAATGCTACAATTTAGCTCAATTAAAGAGAAGCTTGAGGATCATTTAGGGGTTTTCATAGATTTTCTTTGCGTTGGCTTTTTGTTTTCAAACCGCGCTAAACAGTAAAAGTATTTTCTAAATGTGTGTGATTGTATGACTAATGACAATGTTTTTTGGGCATTTCTTTAAATGCAGGTACAGGAAATTGGCTTTGAAATGGCATCCTGACAAAAATCCTGACAACAAGGAGGAGGCGGAGAGAAAATTCAAAGAAGTGGCTGAAGCTTATGAAGTCCTGTCTGACAGTACGCCATCACACATTTCTGTTTTATGTCACTGGTTTGATTAGTATACTGTGTGTTTGTGAGTGTACTGGAGGTTTACACCTCTAAATCTAAACTTTTATTAATTTTTCACCCAAATTTCAGTTTCATTTGTTTATGTTAAAATAAATAAAGAACATTTGACCACAGGAGTAGGTCCTTACATCATTATTAAAACATTTTTCTGTTCATATTTTCCACTTCTTTTTCTCCAAGCATTAATATTGACTCATAACTGAAGATCAGAAATAGTTTGGTTTTGGACTTGATTATGAAACATTTTTGGCGTTTCTGTGTTGGGAATTCACATTTGAACAAAAATATAACATACTGATGTCTGTTGTTTCTTTTATTGTTTTTTTTAACAGAGAGCAGACGTGAAGCTTATGACAGATATGGAAATGACCGAATGCCACACTCAGGTAATTTGAAAAATACAGAGATGGAGTTTTAACAGAGGAAATGGTCAAAAAGCTCACATTTACAAATATATTTATTATAATTGTATTTTTCCTCTTTTAATTAACACAGCACTACATTTGCATCTGGCTTTATTCTGCTTTTTCTTCTATTTTTTTTTTCCTTTTCATCCCCCGATGATTTATTTGTTTCAGGTTCCTCCACCTCAGACTTCTCAGGTTTCCCAGATTATACGTTCACATTCCGCAGTCCAGATGAGGTGTTTAGAGAGTTTTTTGGGGGACAGGATCCCTTCTCAAGTTTTTTTGGTAAGTCATGCTCAAGATGTCGTACACATTGGTTTGAACTTTTCCCAGCGCAGTAGCACTGACTGTATTTCAGGTTTTACAAACGTATTTACACTAAGGTGTGAAATGTATGTTATGTAAATGGTGCATATGCACAGTTTCTCCTCTCCAGAGTAAAACACATTTATTGTATGCGATTAATCTTTTCTCTCGTCCTATTTGTTGAATTTGCTCATTGATCTATCTTAACGTCACCCTCTCTTTATTCAGATGACTTCCCAGCCTTTGGAGGCTCTACACGCCAGGGCCCCAGTCGATTCTTCTCTTTTCCTTCAGCTGGAGGTGAACATTTGAATGCTCATCATCAACTTCATCACATGTTAATCAGATTTGGCAGTTCATGTAGTATTATCACACTACCTTAGTAGTTAAAAGTAAAAGTACTTAAAAGCTTGTGTGTGTGTTTTCAACTAGACTTTGAGGAAATTTAACAAATATGTTTTCCTTTTGGTAAAATTATTTCCCAATATTTTTGCACTCAGGTTTTTTATAGCATTTAAATTTCCACTTTGTGTTAAAATAACAGTAATGGTACACTTTTTGAATAAAATGAGAGTGCAAAGACTTTTTTTTTTTTGTCTCTTTTTCTCATTTCTCTGATCACCTGCTTTTCTGCAGTTGAATTTAGCTCCTTTTCTTCGTCCTTCGGTGGTCTGGATGGGATGGACAGCATGGGAGGAGGGACGGGCAACTTCAGATCGGTTTCTACTTCCAGTCGCATCGTAAATGGAAAACGCACCACCACCAAAAAGTATGTGAACTCTGCTGTATAGAGGTTCGTTCAACTGAGGAAATCAGAATCAGCTTTCTTGTCATTGCACCGAAGTACAACAAAACCACATTTCAGTACAGCCCGTCCAGTGGGCGGGGACGGAGGTGTCTGAGGCCGCGGCCTCGGGGGGAGGGGGCTGCCTTTTTCAAAGCAAAATATGTGAAGCCTTGTATTATGTAGTCCACTCTAGTTTTATTCATTGATGCTTCTAAAATGTGGCTCTTCCAAACTGGTCACTTAAGTCTTGATTTATTTGATGGTTATTTCATTTTCCTGAATCTTGTATGCCTGTAAATTACTGACCCTGACAAAACTTTTTTGACTCGTTAACAGAATCAAGGAGAACGGGCAGGAGAGAGTAGAGATTGAGGAGGATGGGGTGTTAAAGAGCATCCTAATTAACGGTAAGGAAATGCACTCTGGTGGTGTGCAGTTTAAAAGTGTGGTCTTGTTTAGATTTTTTTTTTTTTTTTTTTAGGACTAACAAAAAATATTTTTGTCCTTCTTTGATTTTATATATATATATATATATAGACCCTAGGGAGTATATTTGCTTTGTAGGTATTTTTATTGTGTTTGTTGCAGCTGAAAGTATCTGATAGTGAAAACTCGCCTAGATATTTGATTTGATATCTTGCTGTGTGGCTGTATCTATAGTGTGGACTCACACAGCTGGATTGGTGTGTGTTTTTCCAGGTGTGGAGGATGAAATGGCCCTCGCTCTGGAGCTTAGTCGAAGAGAAGGACAGCCCCATCAGTCCTCTCAGAATCCACAAGTCCAGAACAGATTGACTGACAGATATCATGGAAGTCCTTACTCTGCGCCAGCGCAGCGGTCATTTAGCGCAGCCCCCTTCTACCAATATGGGAACACAACAAAGGAGGATGAAGAGGAAGATGAGGACCTTCAGATGGCTTTGGCATGCAGCTTGTCAGAAATGGAAGCTCAGCAGAGAGCCGGTGCTACCGACTTCATATCAGGTGCTGGGGATAAGGGAAGAGCCAAACGAGGGGAGATTGCTAATGGGAAACATTTGAATTTGTCCAGTGGTCACAAGATAGTTGCAGGGGGGCAAGATGATGGGAGCCAACTTAAAGTGGGCTCTGGGCTTGCAGATAATTTGAAAACAAAACGAACCAGAGAGCCAGCTTCCTCCTCTGAGTCATCATCCGCTGCCAGCACTAATCTGCCAAACAGTTACAGTGAAGAAATATTCCAACCTGCAGCAAAAAACTCCAGTGGAACCTTAAAAAAGAACAAATGTGGATGTGTGGTGTGCTAATCTAGTGTCTGTATACATATTTGAGTTACCTTAACATACTTGGTGTCAGCAAACACAGAGACTCTGGGATTGCTCGACTTTTTATTGAAGGCTAACAGTAATGCCAGAACACTCCAAAAAGCAACATGTTCTAAGTTTCCTGCTGGAGTTTTGATTTTAATGGACAGTAAACATTGTCACATGATCGCTCATAAAGTTACAACTTAAATGGGTTTTGTTTGAAGAGCACAAATAATTACAGAGTAGCTTTAAAATGGATGCGTATGTGACAAATATTTAGGTGGGGAAGTCGGGGAGAGGCCGGGGTGAGTTGGAGTTATGGTTTTCAGTCGAACTGTTGGAAATTCTAGCTTGAATAGACCTGAATTTAGGTCAGAGTTTGAATGAAAGCAAATGGGTATGTGTTGTACATGCATGTGTTAAGATGAATAATATTTTAGGGGCATCACAGCAGGAAATGTGTGTGTTTGCAAATCTAATTGTGAGTTTGGGTCAGCTGAAACCTTGCCACCGAATTCTCTCTGGCAAAACAAAAGTAACCGAGCTGTGACACACACATGGCAGACTGGAACAGTACACTGACAGTAAAAGCAGACAATGGGGTGACGTTTATCACCCAAACTTTGATTAAAGATCTCCTCCGTATGAAGGTTAATATATATTTCTGAAAAAATATAGCCGTATAAAGCACATAATTCTTTATTAGGAAATGCAAGATAATCCTATCTTAATGCACTTTTAATAATATAAAACTACCTGCTTTGATGGTTTTTTTTTTAATTGTTTGAGGAAGGCACTTTATTTAGTTAGATGGCAAACTAATGTACAGGAAGTCAGTAAATACATAACGGGTTGGTGGAATAGTTAAACATCAAGATAAAACTATAAGATGTTGCCTTTTTAAACATTTTTTATGGCTCTGACAAAAACATTAAACCCACATTAAGGCGTTACTGGACTTAAGTGGGGCGGCCGTGGCTCAGGGAGAAGTGATCGTCCCTGGTTCAGTTCCCGGTGTCTCTAGTCCACATGTTTAAGTGTCCTTGATCTAGATATTAACCCATGTCTCCCCTCTGCTGTCAGCTGGTTTGGATAAAAGCATCTGATGAATGCATATCCCATCAGAAAATGAATATTTACTCTGTTTACAGTCTACAGTTATAGAGCAAATATGCGCATATGTTTCAATTTCTCATGTACAAGAATGCAGCTTCAATTTGTTTAGTCTAATCTGTCACCGAAGCCTTATTTCTGCATGGATAGAGCAGTAATAAACTCATACACATGCATATATATTTCTGTGAACATGATCAAAATACGCCAAAAACACTGAGATCCACAGTTACTGAAAAGTAATCCAGTATTTTGGGAGCAATAAAGGTGTTTATGTGAGAGAGTGCCAACACTGGTATTGACTGGAGTTTAACAAAACCCAAACATGCCCAGCAAAGTGAAAGTAATGTTTTTATTGAACAATATTGGTGCCAAATCACAGAAGCATTAAAAGTTATTATTGTCTCTATAACACTTTATTTTTAAAAGACTGACTTATCTAAAGAAGTATTTATTTTTGTGCTGCTCGTTCAGCAATACGTTTGATTGTAATGTATATATTTGCACAGATCTTTGTGTGGTTGTTTTAAATTGCACGCCAGTTTTCTCTTTTTAATAATAATTATCACTGGCAAATACAGCTGTGGTGAATTTAAACAAAACTAATATTTTGTTCTAAGTTTATCGTTATATCTTCATATATTTGAATTATTAATTGCGTGGAGAGGAAATTAAAGGGAAAGAGGCAGATGAATTACTTTTTAAATGATCATCTTGTCTTATTTGAACTTTGTATAATGTTTTTTTTTTTTTTTTGCAAATTGTTAAATGGGAATTAACTAATAAAGGTTGAGCCTAAATATGAGCTGCTGTTTTTTATATGGCAGAAACTGTCGTGTGTTATTGAAACTAATATGCTACTAGCACTTCAAGTAATGGCAAAAATTCCTTTAAACAAAGTTAATTATTTATATGTAACATGCAGAAACACATGTAGGAACGCCTTTTATCTGGTAGCGTGTTATTGGAGCATAATTTAGATTTTTGTCTTACACTTCCTGCTTCCTGTTTCAGAGTCAGACTTCAAGGCCTTCACAAGCTAACCTGATTGGCTCATGCTGCTCTGTGCCCATAAGCCCAACAAAGAGGTAAAGAACCGGTGTGGATCTTAGGCATGCTAAACATTTTCCATCCTCCCTAACAAACTCTGTAGAATAAATCAGACTATTTCTCTTTACAATGGTGATAAAGTGTAACTTTTCTTTTACATATATTTTACAGGTCAAAGATCAGTTTGCTACGATGCACTTTCTCTCACTCTGATGGCTCCTACCTGTTGAATGACTCTTAAAATTATTATTTATTAAGATTGTATGTATCTGTTCTGTAGCTCATAGTGTAGCAAAACAATGGAAAGATTATACTTGAAAATGTACAAGATTTCTGCTGTTTTTCTAATATATATATATATATATATATATATATATATATATATATATATAAATATATATATATGATTAAATACTCTCGAAAATGAGTGCAAAACATAGATTTTGTACAAAGAGTAGGAAATTACCAAACTGGAAGAAAAAAGGTTTTCTTGTAAATGAAACTGCTGCAAATAATAATAATAATAATAATGATTATCCTGAAAGATTTTCTTGTTTATTTCTCTCATTAAATGTATTCTAGTTTGTTATTGTTGCAAGAAGAAAGTTAAATGTTAACTTAAAAAAATCAACTTATTTAAAGATGGTTTAATGTCCAAATGAATATTTTACAGATCATATCTGAACACACAATTAGAAACAGATTTTCTGCTGCATCACATCACAAATTTATTTAGTTCAAGTCAAAAATACATTTTTATATTTGTTTTCCATTTGTTTGCTACATGAAATAAACACGGTCATCAGGATGAGTTATATACATTAATCACAAGGTTGCACATTGAGTTAAACCGTAAAAAAAATACAATTAAAGTAAATTTGTATACAAAAATAAGGAGATAATTGTAATGTGCACTTCAATGTTTAGTACTGATTACTTAAGAAGCAGAACTGGAAGCAAACACTTCAATCTGCAGGGCAAAGACGAGCTTTTTTAATAATAAAAAAAAAAAATAGAAATCAACACACTTGACAGCAGTTTACACTTTTTTTTTTCATTTGGACACAAAACATCACATCCAAAGTATTAAATTCGAGAGTAATCTTACTCTGGTACAGTAAGATGGTCGTACATATTTGGTACTTTTAACACATTTTTTTTTTTTAACATTGATCCAATTATAACATCAGAATGAACAGAGAATTTGGTGTATCCAGTGAAAAGTACAAAAAATCTGTTCCATGATTATGACACCTTTTGTCATATGGAGGTATATCTGTTCACGTTTAACTGTGACCCTATAAATATTCTTTAATCCGATAAGGAATAGTGGGGGGGATTTAATCTGTCTTCACACAGGCACAGACGTTTGTTGATTTCACATGTGATAACCGCGTCCTTGTCTCGGATTGATTTATTTATAGAGCAGAAACGGAATAAATTTGTGTAGAAACGTGCTCCGCTTCGCATATTTGCATCTTTACCATAACTGTTGACTACACTTTTCATCAAATTTAAGCTCCAAAAATAGTTGTGGCACCTAAAAAAAGGTGTAAACTGGTGGGAAAACACTGCGTGTTAAAATCTGGTAACGGCTGATCGGATTTATTTTCCTTGTTCTGGAAATATGTGAATGAATGTGTTCTGTGGAGATTGTGTGTTTTTTGTGTGCCTGCATGTGTCGTCAGCATGTTCCTCAGCTGCGTCTCACTGTGGCAGAGCTTTCAAGATGGCGTTCACCTCCTCGGCAACGGCTGTCAGAGCGAACTCAAACTGGTCCTGATCAGGAAGAGCGAGACATTTGGGTTATGATGAAGTCATGAAGAGTCGTACTGAAACATACTGATCTTGCGCACACACACAAACACACACACAGACAGTACCTTGGTGCGGACCAGGCCCGGTCTCTGGTCTCTGATGTGCTCCAATGTGGCGGCAATGTCGATCTCTTTCACTCCTAATGGCAGGAACAGTGACAGCATCACAAACAGTTAGTAAATGTTTGTGCTTAACGCTGACTTTAAAAAAAAAGCATCATCTTCAGGATGTTATTTAAAACCAAGATCTGATCTAAAATATGACAAAGGTTATTAGACCTTTACTTGGGTTCTACTGTATTTGTGTGCTAAACGCATTTAAAATGCATGCATTGTCTAAAATAAAATTAAGTGACTTCACAGTTTCTAATTAACTTTATATTAAATTCAGACTTTAATAAAAATGATAATAATTACTTGAGGCAACAATCACTTTAAAAAAGTCAAGCATACATTTCCAATCAGTGTGTAAAACATTTAAATGTAACATGAATTAAACATTTTGTTGAATATAGCCCCCTCTAGTGTTCATAATAGGTATAACATCTTCGTCACTGGTCAACATTACTCCATAACATGGATCCTTTTCATTCATTCAACCTTTTTTTAGACAGGTGAATCCTGTCTAAATCTAAACAATCTATCTAAACAATGTCCTCTCAAAACTGCAAATCTGTTTGACTCCACGTTAAATAATTAGTCATCATATATCCTCTCGGTGTGTGTGTGTGTGTGTCCTTGTTTATGCTACTTTGTGAGGCCCATTTTTCCAACTTATACTACATTGTGGGGACCAACTGCTCCTTATGGGGCCCAAAGCCCGGGCCCCATAAGAAGAAGTCCCGTTGGTGGGTTAGGAGCTAGGTTTAAGACTAAGGTGTGACTTGAGGATGTGTTAGGTTTAGGGTTAGGTATGTACTGGTAATGGTTAGGTTAAGGATAAAGGTCATGGTTAGGCTATAGAAATGAATGAAAAATGAATGGAAGTCAATGCAAAGGCCCCATAAAGATAGCAAAACAAACCTGTGTGTGTGTGTGTGTTTGTGAGAGTGACTCACCCTTAGCCATACGATTCAGCACCATGTCAATGAGAATATATGTGCCAGTCCTGCTAGTACCATCACTGTGGAAATGACAGACATATATATATATATATATATATATATATATATATATATATATATATATATATATATATACTTATGATCAAAGCACAACTACCAATCAGAATATCTATATTGATATGTTGTATATGTTCTACCTGCAGTGAACGATGATGGGGCAGGATCGACCTCTGTAACACTTATTCACCTTCCTAAAGAGCAGGAATAAAGGATCACACAAAAAAATAAAAAATAAACGGGGAGGACAAGAACAGGTGTTTGATTATGAACTAATTTGTTAAAAAGTTCCCAACAGCTTGTTTAAAAAATGTAATAAATATACAACAGCTGATCTGTCAAAGAAATCACTAAATCCATAAAACAGAGAGTTAGAAGCCGGTTAAGTTGCTTTGATTAGCTGACTTAAGTTTTGGGGTGAAATTAAAAGCAACTAAAGTAAAAGCGACACAAATATAAAAAAAAAAAAAAAACTGTTAATGGACAGAAAGGCAGCTAGTTCTACATTGAGGGACACTGACAGGACGGGAAGAAACTCCGCTGCATGAGGTGACAGATGGAAGAGAAGGAGAAGAAGAAGCCACAGATTCACTGTCCCTCTTGCAGCAGCCAATCACACCTGCCAATGCTCATTTTTGTGACTATGCAACTGGAGCCAGAGTACTAGCTGCAAACCACAAAAATGACACTGGGAGATGTTAAAATACAAACCGATCAACCTGCACACTGAAACAGAGGGAGAGGGAGCCAAGATGGTGGATGGATAATCGAGGAAATGATAAGCGAGGATGCCAGATTGGAATATGTCATGTTAGAAGACCAAGAGGATGGGACAACAAACAGGAGAGGTGGTGGATTTGAAGAAGGCAATTTAAGTTGATCTATAGAAAAAGACTGAATCTTGTACAAAGAACCTTAGCGTTATTGATGATACCTGCGGAAATCAAGCAGCGGACGAGTAGAGGTGGGGATCCCGTCGCCCGGCCAGCTCAGCAGGTGAAACTGTGTCAAGGTTCTCGTTTCCTGCGTCTGGACGTTCTTCAGATAGAAGCTGCGCACAAGGAAGTCTTTACACCAGATATGCTCAGACACCAGGTTCACCTGAACGAGACAAAGGGACAAACGGGGAGATAAGAAGCGGAAACAACGGCAGGCAGAGACTCAGAGAAGAGTGTTTGCAACTTTGTAAGAACGTGAAGATTGAAAATATGTCAAGATTTTTCAAATCCCCATCAACAGAAAACAGTTTTAAGTTGACATCTATTCCAAGGTGACTGAATAGTGCAACAAACAATTTATGCGTAATGTAATGCATTTTTATTGGGGTACAACATTTATATTTTAACAGGAGAAATTGTATTTCCTGCAAAAAATGCAGTGTGAATGCTTATTGCAGAAGAACTTGTTGAAATGAGCTAAAAACATGCTGAAATGTAGTTGAAATGGAAGAACAAGCCAAATTAGCAGAAGAAAGCAGAACGAACCTATATTTGATGAATTATGTTAAAGAAGAAGAAATTAGCACAAAAATGAGGAAATTAGCTAAAAAAGTTGAAATTATTATTTTATTATTATAACTTTATTAGTTTTATAAAAGAAAAACAAAACAATACAATATACAATAAAAGATACAATCACAAATAAAAATGAAAGGCTGCAGAAAAAAGAAAACGTTATATCTGCCCCTTAGCAACAAGTAGCTGAAAAGAAGATGAAAGTCAAGCTTAAACTACCAGCTTATGGTAGTTTAAGCTCTTTCCACTTACTGAGCTGAAATGAGTTAAAAATGTTGAATTAGTTGGAAAAGCTAAAATTAGCATAAAATAGCTAAATAGTAGCTGGACTTGCTGAAAAAGCTGAAACTAGCAGAAAATAGCTGAAAGGAACATAACAAGCTGAAATTAGCATACATATCTGAAAGTAGCACAAATTACAATGAAAAACTTGAATTTATCTGAAAACAGCTGAAATTACCTGTATATCTTAAAAAAGAGAAAAGCTAGCTGAAAAAGTAGAACAAGCTTAAATTAGCAGAAGGAAGTAAAGAGAGGATATGTTTACCCAATTAAGCTGAAAGAAGCAGAATGAGCGCAAAAAAGTGGAAATTATCTGAAAATAGCTGAAATTATCAACAAAAAAACCCAACAACTAAAAAGTAGCTTAAAAAGCAGAAAGAAACTTAAATTATCAGAAGCAAGTTTAGAGAGCACATTTTTGCTAAATTAGGCTGAAAAAGTTTAAATGAGTGTCAAAACTGTGACATTAGCTGAAAACTTAAATTTATCTGAAAACAGCTAAAATTAGCTAAAATTGCTAAAATGGTAGCAGAAACGTTAGAACAAGCTTAAATTAGCAGAAGAAAGCAGAAATAACATGTGTTTGCTCAATTAGGCTGAAAGAAGTAAACATTAGCACTAAAAATGGAATATATCTGAAAAAAGAAATTAGCAAAAAAAAAAAACAGTAAAATTGTAGCTTAAAAAGCAGAAAGAAGCTTAAATCACCAGAAGGAAGTAAAGAGAGCACATTTTTGCTGAATTAGGCTGAAAAAGTTGAAATGAGTGCAAAAAATGTGGAATTAGCTGAAAAAGCTTTCCCCAAATCATCAATTTTCCAATATTTATCTACAACTATTTCTGCTCACTATATAATGGATTGTTTACACAGGAGTTGTGACAAACCTCATAGATGTGGTAAAGCGAGGAGCCCTCGTCTGGCCAGTATCGTTCACACTGCTTCTCCCCGTCCTCTACCAGAGCTGTCATCATCACGATCACGGTGCACCCATTCTCCCAAACCATCTGCACGTTGAAGAAAGAAAACAGATATGTGCATAAACACAGGCCGAAGCAAACGTGGTGTTTGAACGTCATTTTAGAAGAATAATTATGTGGCCTGTCCTGAGTTTAATGGAAGCACTTTGTCAAGTATGTGCTTTATTTATTGTAGTTGTTTGTTAAGTGCATGGAAGCGTAGGTAATCTGACAGAAACAACAACATAAAAGATGGAAAAACCAAAACTGAACTCACCTGCCAAAAATCCACAACAGTGTGGGGCAGAGGTCCCTGGGTGGCAATGTAAGCTGGTTGGCGGGGGTCATGGTCAAACTAGATTAAAGGGCAAACAGATGAGAGTCACACAGGTTTCCCGAGACATGCGTCATAAGAACAAGTCTAAATAAATGCATTCTATGAGGCGTAAAATAGCTTTACAGAGGGTGCAAAGACTGTGTTGTACACATAACATACTATCATTGAACTAGTATTTGTTTTATTGACCTTGTTGGTAAAAACACACAAAAAACATCTGACTTTAAAGACCTAGCATTCCTTGAAGGAACGCAGGTCACCGGCCTCTTTTCACGCCACAGTTTTAATCTTAAATCTTATTATTAAAAGAAAAATATGGAGTTTTAGTCGTTTTGATCAAATCTTGTAATGTGCACAATTATGCATGATCTCATGAGATCTTAAAAGATGCATTAAGCTCTTAAAGTACGTGTTGGGGTTGAAACGCTGCTATAGCCGCACCAAACGTTTGCTTGATACGTGTGAAATCGACTGTTATAACAGTATTTTGTGTTTGGTTGATTACCCATGGCAACCAGCTTGAATTGGGCTGACTCCAAAAACTTTAGATGTGCATCCAATGATTCCATTCTGAGAGTTTCACTAAAATCTGTTTACTTGTTCATAAGATATTTTGCTAACAGAGAAACAAGTTTAAATCTAGCAGTTATTGATACATTCTTAAGAAAAGCTATTGCACAATATATAGAGCTTGGAGTATGTGTTAGTGGGGATGCTCAGCTACAACCATGCCAAGTTTTAGCTCATAATATTTAAAATTGCCTGACATATAGTCATTAGTGTGTTTGCTAAGTTCAGTTGGCTGTGGAGGCCAACTTGAATTTTGTTAGCTACTAAATGTCATCAGTTGTAGAGGTGCGTTCAAGAATTACTTCCTGAAAGTTTCATTAAAATCCCTTTAATGTTTCGTATGATATGTTGCTAACAGACAGAGTTGACTCCAAATTGTTGATGGCAACATTTTAAATCAAAGATTTTGAATTTGATTTTTCAATTTGAAGTCAATATTATTCAAAATTATTTAGTTATTGTGGTTCAGTTGGATCTGGCCACCATATTAAGCTGATTCCATAAGTTAACCAGTTGTAGATGTGCATTCAATGCCAATAATTATTTAATGGGTCAGCATGAGATACTTTGGTACCAGACGAACGCACAAACAGTACTGCTGCTTCGCCTTCGGCCGCACGCAGCAAATATTTACTTTAGATTAGGAGAAAAACTAAGCAAGTAAACTATTGAGCCAGATTACTGCAACACACTGACGTGTGAATGCTTACAATGAAACTGGCATTGATGTAATCCTGTTTACTGGAGTTTGCTTCGGTCTTCATCTTCACACGGGAATGATCATCTGGAAGGATAAAGCATGCTTCACCGTTCAAGCCTCTGCAGCTACAGAAGTGACGGGAATGATCAGACGGCGTTAGAGATTGATGTACTAACAGGGCAGGGCTTCCACGTGTCTGTTTTTGTCCATGTTGGCGGGGTCTTGAGCCACAGCTACAGAGCACGGTTCAGCCTGATAGGAGCACAGCGCCTCCCACTCCTTCTGCAGCCGGTCCTTATTACGCAGGTGGTCCTCCATGTAGGCCTGCGCGAGAGGCAGCGCATGACAGAGTAAATATTTGCACAGTGTGGGATGAATTCTGCAGGATTAGGGAGTAGTTTTCCACCACGCACCAGTATCATGTGACCTGTGGAGATGTCCATGTTGGACTGGGCTGGCTCCTCGCTCCAGGATGGGGTGGAGCTGTGGGTGGAGGATGGACTGTGCTGCGGCCCGTCGCTGAACTGGGAGGAAACGCTGCTGACTCGAGACGTGTCGGTGCCTCTTCGTCCACCTGCACCCGGTCCTGTGGCAGACCCTGCCATACCGCCGCTTACTCCTCCAACACAGTCTTGGCGACACAGAGAGGATTTGGATGCCATGTGCTGCCGACATAGCTCCTGATTAAACAAAAATTGGCATTAGGTATGGGATTTATTCATCTATTAGATCTTTTTGTTGTTGTTGTTGATAAAGAGTAGATTAGATGCTGTTGCAATAAACTTTATACGTATAAGTAAATTCATGCATTTACGATCCCTTATTTATTATCTGGCAATTCCTATCATATCAGTTGTGTTCCAGTTCTGTTTGTTGTCATACCTGGTAGTCAAAGTGTGTTTCTGATCCCCCCTCTGGCCCCAGGCCAAGCTTGCCATTGGCCACTTGGTGAGCATAATGTCTGAAACAAGCGATGGCCATGGCCAATACCAGCACACCTCCCACCACTGCCATGGAAACTAGGGTGATGACGGTCCCACTGGAACCCTGAGGAACCCTGGTTACCTGAGGGAGACCCCGTGCATCTGTCCTCTAAGGAAGGAGGAAACCACAAAGTGGTGGAGGAGACAGAACACACACAAAATGGATTATTATCCGGTAAGTGAGTTATCTCCATTCCTCCACATGAACTTTAGTTGATAGACCGAGTTAAGCCTCTGCTCCAGGGGTTTGCGCTCTCTTACAACTATAATTCAAAGGTCACTCATTTCATTTTTAATGATTTTGACTCTCAGTAAACTGCACAGGACAGCTGTGTGAGCTGAACGAGCAGCTGAGGCTGAGTTTTACAGACAGAGGTCTGAAAGGTTAAGGCAGAGTGCCCCCATAAATCCATTAAAAAGACAGCTGAGGCTCCGGAAAGACCATCCAACCATCCCGGGGGGACATGCCTCACAACAGTGCTGCCCTAACCGCAGCATTCCACCTGTCCTTCAGCTTCTCTTCAAACCATTTGCACTATGCTACCCACACCTACAGACTGCCATTAGACTCACTGTAGTGTGTTTACATAGATGCACACAAATTCTTTTTACAGCAAGATCACCATGAGAGGAAATAATTAAACCGGTCCTGAAATGAAGCTTAGAGGTCAGCTGCAAAAAGCAACTCATAGATCAGAATACATGGACTGCTGTTTGTTGACTTGCTAAGGAAATGATAACGTTTACTTGATGATGACTTGATGTGGGTCATGTACATTTGCAACAACCTTCATGTATAAACCATTATGACGGCCTTTAAAATGAACAATGCATATAGTGACAGGTGGAAAGCCTAATAGATTATCTGCATGTGTTTGCTATCCTACACTAAAACTGCTAATAATTTAATACACTCAAAGAGAGGGAAACATAGAGGCTGTTTGTGTGAATAATGAGGTTATTGACACTTGTATGACAGTTGCCATAGCACCTGGGATCTGGGAGTCAAAGTGAGGGGAGGGGGTCGAAGGAGCTGAAAAGCCATGGCAACAAGAGAAATGCTGGGTGTCAGAAAGCATCGCCTCACACATTAGCTCTGTCCACGGTGACACATGCACTCAAGAGGGGAAAAAATAAAACAGTGACTCACAGCACTACAGCAGCACAACGCTAGATGCAGATGAACAACAAGCCTTACAGGTGAGACGATTTGGCCTTAAAAAGCAATGATTCTTGTGCTATCAGTGAAAGACAAATAGGATGTAACGTGTAAAAATATTCCCACTGAGAAATAGCAAACCCATCGTATACGCTCGACTATACTGTAACACAAAATCAGCCACAGATATGTGCGGACTGAAGAAACAGGAGCAGTAAAATGTGATGACGTTTGACCCTAGCTGGTCTGTTAATCTCTCAAACTGGGGCACGTGTGTGACTCGGTTACAATTGAGATGGTTTATTAATAAAAACTAATGACTGTATAGCCGTATTGCCTTGACAACTGCTTCACATGTGCAAAAGGAGGCTGCGGTGGTGTATCTCATGTGTGTAAAGTACCTCTCCAACTCCAGTTTGTACTATTTTCAGACCCGTCTCAGACTCCAGATAGTTTTTCTCAGATACTGTCAAGGTAAAAAAAAAAAATAAAAAAAAAAGATTTGGGGATGTGAACAAAATTGTAAAAACAATACGCAGTTGTCACGTCATCATTCAATGCATGAATGTATCGTGGGTGCTATTGTGTGAGTCTCACCGGCCTTGGCAGCCACCTCTGCAGCCGTCATGTTGTGTTCGTTTTGACGGATTCGAAAAGTCAGCGCTGGTCCGACCACGCTGGCGACACACAAACAAGGTCACACATGTACAAAGCTTCGGAGGAGAGAAGATCTGTCACACACAGATGTGCAAGTTATCACAGCATTACCTGATGTTGATGAAGCTGCTGGTTGTCAGGTGGATTTTATCAGCCAGTAGCTCCAACAGTTTCACTCCATTGTACAGACTCAGATGACTACAACAGAAAAGAGACATGTTCTTTGTAAACATCTCCTGCTTCGCTGTGTCTAACTTTGGGGAGCTGGGGTTTGTTGCAGTAATCAGAAGTACTGACCTCTGGTTGGTGACGATGTACCCGTACTCCTCTTTGGCTCCAGTACCCTCAACAAGTGGGTCTTTAAAGTCCTTCCCAGAATCCCCAGATGTGGATTGAGGAGGCTTGGAGGCAGACGTGGGGATGCTGGCACTCTTTAGCGGAGGTGCATCTGGAATGGAAGCAGAGGAAGTAGCGGGAGGACCATCAGGGGGACCTGGAGCTGGAGCAGGCTTCTCTGGTTCGGACACACTTCCTTTTTTTAACAGCTGCATCTGAGAAGAATGGTAACAAGCCTGTGAGTGCGCACGGTTGCATTCCGTGGGTGCTGAAAACAATAAGGATGAACATACCTCTTTGAGAGTGATGAGGCCTTTCTCAACTGGTTCTGCATTGAGAGACAACAATGGTTGCAGATCATAACTATACTAAACATAACCTAGTTTGATTGGATGTTTTCATAAGAAATTAAGTTCTTTCTGACAGATGGGCATAAAAATGGGACCTGCTGTGATTGTTTTGTCTTGGCTTTGCAGTAGCTGCAGAATAAGGGCTAGCTTGTAGAGCTGCTCCTGATTGAGATCCCTGGGATCAACATTGTACCTCTGAAGGACGCCCGATATCCTCTGGATCAAACCATCTAAGAGAAGCGCAGTACATCCCAAGTTTCAGTCATACATGTGTCCATGTGATACACACTATTCCACTTAAAGTTTACATGTGGATTTGTAAGTTTACCGTTGTTTCTATGCCCGGTACTGACGTCCTGTGGAGCTTTCTTACTCTGTAGATTTGGCTGCCTGCCTGCAGTGCGGAGTCTCTCCTGTAGAGTGTAGTCTTCCACAAGGTCCGCTGGTATCTCCAAGTCCAGGTTCTCATAATAAGGGAGACCAGCTTACAAAACAGCAAAGTAAAAAAAAAAAAAAAGTTTAGTATATAAAAAAAGCCAGTGAATTTTAAAACAGTTACATGTTTTCCCACCTACAGCACTACTCAAAAGTTTGTTCAAAAGTTTGTGCGTTCTGCTTACACTGAGATGATCCAAGTGATGCCCAAAAATAATTCTCCAGACTTTGTGAAGTAAGGTTTTATTTATTTTTATTCTTATTATTATTCTTATTATTATTACATTTTTTTGAGGACATTAACTGTTTGACTATAAACTGGAACAAAATGTGAGCTTCTTAATGATGTATACAAGCATAAATTAAGGTTGCGTCTACACATAAACAACAACTTAGCCAGTTTGGCTATTTAAGGTGAGACATAATTTGTTCCCATTGCTTTAGTTGCATTAAACACAAGTTATTCCCACATTGGTTACATACATGGCATGTATTAACAATGTCTAGATCAAGGGTGTCAAATTTAGTTATAAAAGGGGGCCAAAATTAAAATTTGGTCCGAGCCACAGGGTCATTTCAGTCAATGCATTAACTCAAGTCCAATACCCGATGTCTTTTTCTTGGTTTCATTTTGTGCCATTTGTTGTTCTATGTTACTCTTTCCAGGTTAAAATCAAAGATTATGGAAAAATCCAACCTTTTTCTAGCTCCAAAGTCAGCCAGCTGTGATGAGAAGTCTGTACTAAAAGAAGTATGCTCAGTTTGTAAAGCAAAATGAGAAGCAATGAAAATATTATGCATTTAAAATGTCTTGGGAGGCCAGATGAGATGTTTACAAGAGCCAGATTTGGCCCATGGGCCTTAACTTTGGCACATGTGCTCTAGAGTATTCCTTAGAAATCTGAAGAAAGTGAACAAGTAAAAAGAAGCATGTTTTTTTATCTGTATCTTAAGTTGTGTGGTAACAAAAGCACACATTATTCAAGTACAGGAGCTTTTATGGGTAAAATATTTATATATTGGTGTTAATTGTTTTTAATAAGAAAAAAAAACATGCTAAACTTGAAGGAAATTTGTTCTCAATACCTTTACAAAGCCCAAAGAACAACTGCATTTGCAAGACTATTTAAAAAAAAGATAATTTAACCCATTAAAAAATAATTTGTACATTATATTGAATGTACTAATATAGTGTGTTTTTAGTTTTCACTGTGTTTCAAGAAGAAGATGATGATGATCATGTTAATGATGATGATACTGAAATGACTAAAAGTTCTCAGCTTGTAAACAAGGACTTTTCTCATCACCACTGACACCGTTGCATATATTTGCCTACAAAGCAAACAGCTGCCTCTTACACTTCCATATTTAGCATAATATAATGTAGACGAAAAATCAAAGCAGATGATTTCTCCTTTTTTATGATAATTTCTTTTTTTCTTTGAAAAAAAGAAAATGGGGGGCATCTAAAACATGAAATTATGCATATTGACAAAATGTCCTGAACAAAATCAATTTGCTTTTTGAACACATTTGTCAGTGCAATATAATTTCTCATAAACAGTAACAAAACTTTCTTTCCTTAACCCTTTACCTGCTGGAGCCATGGGAGCGGCCCCTCGGTGCCGATAAGAGGGCTGCCCGGATGCCAAGTACAGAGACAGCGCTTCCTGCAGCAGCTGCCTGTCGCGCTCCTGATCTCTCTGGCTCGCCTGATACCTCAAAGACGGGCGGGCGTATCCTGCTCCCGTATTCAGAAGTGATCTCTCTACGTCATCTTCATATCTGTGCTGTGACTGACAAAATATGACACACTATTATTTATAATCTAAACCTGCTAGAACGATGTTTGATTGCAAGAGTTCAGATTTAATTTTGCTGTAGGAGCACATGTGGATGAAATGATCGCTTTATAAATATGCTTTCCTTGGCTTCAGCACAGTTAAGGACTGTTTATGTGTGTGTGTGTGTTGGTGGGTGGGGGTGCTGATTTACCTGGTGATAGGCGTATGGATCAATAGATGCCGTTTGCATGCGCAGCGGGGACTGAGGAGGCTCGACGATCATGTAGTCCATGTATTTTCCACCAGGAGGTGTGGACCCTAACTTAGAGTTGGAGTGGTGGAGGACGTGCTGTTTGGACCTGCAGCCACATCAGAAACACAGGCAGATTACTATGGAGGGTTTGTTTTGTGTAAATCTGTGTTACCTAATAAATATCAGTGGACAAATGCTCACTGAGAGGAATGAGGAGACGACGATGACAAGTTGGGTTTCGACGAGAGAGTGGTGTGGGGAACTCTCTTCAGCTCTTTTGATAAGATATACTGAGTGATGTCATCCTGCCACGACAGTCCTAAACACAGACACACACAATGGAAGGTAAAAACTTAAACACTGAGGCTCAGTGTAAAGAAAAAACTGTCTATAAGCTCTTTCTTGAAATGCTCATATTTATACAAACCTATGTTCTAAAATCAGAAACACCTAACTTGATAGGGTTATACAATTTAATTTATGAAGCAGATCTCGATTAAACTTGTTGATGTCTTTTGTTGAGGTTCTGTCTTACCTTGTAGCATGAGCTGTTTGAGGACTTCCTGCATCCTCTTCAACACAGGAACCGTCACCTGATACTGGACCTGGTCTTGCTTGGAGCTTCGACACTGCCCGAACAACCCATCTGAAATAAACATATAAATATATATGAAAACAATAGGAAACCCTCGAATCTTGTTTGCTTTAATAGGACAATTACAGATGTTTTTAATTTCTTGGTACACTTCTGCGAAAAAACTAACAAACAACAGATGTGACATACAGCTCCAGTTTTGTCTCGTTTTTCTTTTTTCCTTCTTGCTCTCATCGAAGGCGGATACTTTTCCCTCCTGCTCCTTCCCTGCTCTACTCTTTGTTCTGTGAACCTTTTTTAAGTCTTTATGTCACTAGTATGTTGCTTTTTTTTGTACTGTTTTTTTTTGCAGCAAGATATGACTTTTTTTTACCTCTTCTCTCGTGTTCCCCTTTTTCTAAGCTAACGAAAAAGGAAGCACCTCTCAGTGAGGCTGCAGCCTCATACACCCTGTCTACCCTGTCTGTTGTTTGTTTGTGTTTCTTCAGATGGGCTGTAATGAAATATAATTTTGTTGTGCTTCTGTGCAAAGACAAGAAAGTTTATTCTGATTCTGATCAGTTCCAACAACTTCCCCCAGGAACTTTGGGGCTTGTTAACATGCATTTTGCTAAATTCCTGTCCGTTTCTTTGTGGTTGTCTGTCATTAGTGGAGCCTTCCTGGGTTATCTTCCATGGAGCACGTATTAAAAATGTGACGGACGTTAAGATCAGAAAGTGACGTACCTTAATTTTGAACATATAATTTTAATGGTTTTGCTTGATTTCATTGCCTCTTATTCTACCTTAAACACCATCCTTCTGATCAACCCGGGGTTGCATTTCCTCTTGCATCCATGCCTTTGGAAGTTGGGTGCAGTCCATTGAACCTTTTACCTTTTTTTTTTAATTTTGGCAACTGTGGTCACAGGAACATGATGCTACTTGGAGATGGTCTTGTAGCTTTTATCTTTAATATGAATATCTATAATCTTCTTTTTGAGCTCATCAGGCTGCCCTCATTTTGCTTCATGTTCAGTGTGTGTCACACAACAACACCAAACCACCCAGTGGTTTGTTATCTTTAAAAAGTCTGATTACCTGATGAAAAATTTGCAGGTACCTATGATATAAGGCAAAATGCTTAGTTTAAAACATGACTATAATGCAAGGATTGCTAGTCTTTTCAAAGTGTGTATCAAATTTTATTATCTTACTGTATGATTGTTTTGTTGTGTGTACAGCACTTTGGTCCTGTAGGTGTTTAAAGTGCTCTATAAATAAAGCTGGTATGGTAAATTAAATCAAATGTATTTTAGCATTTCTTAGTAAAATATGCAACATAATTTATTTTCATGTTCTTTCTATGTATCATATACTTGGCATGCAGATATATGTGAAACAAGTGCTTTTAACTGAATCTCTTTTCACAAGAAATGAAACAATGTTAAAATGAGCACCAAAGAGTACAAAAATGTATCCGTTTGAATTTTAATCAATCAATCAACCATCAACCAACCAGTCAGTAAGTCAGTCAGTCAGTCAGTCAGTCAACCAAACAGTCAGTCAATCAACCATTCAATCAATCAATCAATCAACCAACCAACCAGTCAGTCAGTCAATCAATCAAATCAATCAGTCAGTCAGTCAGTCAGTCAAATCAATCAACCAATCAATCATCAACCAACCAGTCAATCAACCAACCAGTCAGTCAGTCAGTCAATCAATCAATCAATCAACCAGTCAATCAATCAATCAATTAACCAACTAACAGACTGACCAATCGATTGATCAGTCTGTCATTTAACTTAACACTTTACAAACAACAAATCTGCAATTAAGGGCTGTACAGTTAATACATATAACAGATTCATAGTAAAAATAATGATTATTAAAATCCCCCAAAAGATAAAAAGTAGTATTAATATAATAAAATGATAAATAAAGTTGTTAATCAAAACTTGAGTCAAAGGCCATTGAACAAAAATGTGTACTTAAGAGCAGGTCAAAGTTGTCTAACTGTAATAAAGTAAATAATTCCACAGATCAGTAGCAGATCACCGCTGGCCTTAAGTTCAGTTCTTGAACCATCTGACAGAGCCTGGTTTCAGTGTTCCCGAGGAAGAACGGTGTGCTACAAGATCCTGGAGATAAGATGGAGCCAGACAAACAAGAGCTTTAAGAACTAACAAAAAAAAAATCTGAACATCGGTCTTGTAACACACAGGAAGCCAACACTGTTGTTATGAGCTCATGTTGTTTTTGTTCCTTTTAAAAGTCAAGCTTTTTGCACCATCTGGAAATAATGATAGAGGACACATTTGTTCTCTTGTATAAAGAGTTTGTAATATGTTGTGATATATGCATTAATTACATTTTTCAAATTTATGAAAAAGAAGCAGGGCCTTGGCTAAGAGACAGAACTGAACGCACGATGCGTTTATGCAATACAAAACTGCAAAAAAAGCACAATTTAAGTGTAAACATGCTCTAACTGGCCTCTTGAAACAAAGTTATACATTTTGTATAATGATTTAGTTGATCTTTGACCATAAACTAGTTAAATGATTTTGCTTATCTGTGCAGAACTTTCTCATGACATAAATCCAATCAGTTGGCCACTGCACGCTGTCCTACAGCGAGTTATAACTCTGAAATCCAGCCCACAAATATTTATTGCTTGTCACCACACGGCCGACAAGTTTCTGTCCCTGAAAGCTCATTTCTGTGCTGTGGACATTATAAAAGTAAACAACAAAACAGCTCCTTTAATTTTGCAGTTTTCTCAGAACTATTAATTTTTTCATGATCACACGAAAATTAAACAAGTGCAAAAAAAAAAAAAAAAAAAGCAGCAAGGCCTGTATATTACGTCAACTGCAGCCCACGCCACTCGACTCTTCAGCCAGAAAGGTGCATCTGAATCATCGTTCTGAGCTTTACAAAGTATTTGTTGCACTGCACTGGGGTAAAGAAAAGGTCCAAAATATAAGCTTTACTGAAACTGTTTGGATCTTACTGGAAAGATTCCTAATTTATTTGGTTTCAATCTGTTAAAAAAAAAAGAGAAGTCCTGCTTTACAAGTGTATCAAACACGTCATATTTACAGGCATTTATGATTACAGAGATATTATACTCAAAAGCCAAATCACAGAAGTCATCGAGCAGACTTAAACCATGCCATGAGACAAAATTGCTGCTGTAGGCTGCAAGTGTGGTGAGAAGAAAGATAAAGCATGAGAGACGACGTTTTATTTGGTGCACTGATGAGTCACTGCAGTCGCTACATCGGTTAATCCACACACAACCAAAACAGCTACAGTGAGGAGGGATGAACTGTTACAACGGTAAAGATAAAGGTGTTTTAAAATCTTACATGACACACACACAAAAAAAAAAATGTCAGGAGCTGCATAGAGATACGAGTCATGTTAGCGCAGACAGATTTTTCAAGTAAAGCGACATCTCAGATAAATTGTGTTTAATGCTAAGGTATTCTCAGACCAACAAAGGATGTTGTCATTGGTCTGACCGTCTAACAGATCAGGACATTTAAAAAAGACAAACAAAAACCTACTGGTTATCATTATATTGATTTGTAGCGTCAGTCCAAGGCCTTATCAGAGATTGGGGCGTCCTCAGAGACACCGTGTCTCTACTAGTACTATCCCTTTCTTTCTGTTTTGACACAGGAAGTTTCTTTCTACCCCCATCCCCTGGACCACCCTGACACACTCACTTCACTTGGCCTTATTAACAGAGACTGGTTGTCATGGCAATAAGGGAAGTTAACTTCATTTGAACAAAGACTGAAAGTCACTCCACTGTTTGACAGTATTTCACTAGGATCAAACTTGCATTGTTTTCAAGGGAATGCCGTTTATGTAAAACAAGGTGTCAATCCTTTCTAACAAAGGCCATTGTGTGCTCTGATTGGTTGGACATTAGAGGCACGTCTTCTGTCCTCAAGTAAACAGGACACCAAGTTGAGTCTTCTGGAAGAAGCTGCTGGAGAGTGTTGTCCAGGCACATGTAATGAGTGGTTGTTTCCAAGCAGCTGATTGCAGTTGCTGAGACTCTTTGAAAAACGGTCATGATGAAGAAGTTGTCCTGGTGGAAAGTTGGCTCTGAGTCAACCAAGAAGTCCTAAAGCATCCATCACCCAGGAGCAAGAGGGTATGTGCCAAACGGACCACAGCCCTGAGAAACAACATCCTTCTTGGGACAGCAGGCCACCGGCTCCTCCATATATCCGCTGTGGTAATGAGAAATGGACGTGTTCTGGTATGATGAAAACATCTTCCTTCTGATGAGAGAACAACGCTAAGGGCCAACTTTGTTTAGATAATGAAATTCACAAATCTGAGATAAGCTTACCTAAATTTTAATGTCAGGAGCTAAGAACCTTAGTCCAAATTGAATCTAAACTCCTTCTCAAAGTCTCCATATTTGTCATTCACTTTCAAAAATAATACTATTGGCTGTTCATTCATATTCCATATTTGCCATAATTTTTATTGTCATCATTCAAACTTAAAATAAACGCTACAGAATAGTTTATTTAAATTACCGGATTCTTTGTCTTTCTTTGAAGGAGAGGAGTTAAGTTCGCTACAAAAACTCACGTAAAATTTAGTCGTGTAACTCACGTAAATTTGGGGTGGGGGGGGGGATCCTGGGTGCTACGTAGTCTGATGAATTAACTTCTGAACCTCTGGTAAGGTTCCACATGGCATGGCAGACTGAGTGATTCAAAGACCTTGATAGACAATCAACATAATTATCAGAATATCCTGATGCATGTATGCTGTACGGATTGTTCAGTGACCAATTGTCCAATTGTAATAATAATAATAATAATAATAGTAATATGTATGTATTGTCATAATTGTATGTTTCCATACAATGGCGAAATTGACTCTCTGCATTTAACCCATCCACCACCAGGCGGAGTGGCGGGTGGCCTTTGGAGTCACTCAGGGAGGAGCTGGGGATGGGGAGTCCTGCTCAGGGACACCACGAGATGTGCAATGACCGGGGATGGAACCCAGGACCTACAGGGCCCGAGCCGGCTGCCCTGCCCCTACACCATCTCGGCCGCTTGTCCAATTGGAGGTGATTGAAGGTGTCTAATCGTCCCCCTCTTACAATGCTGTTATTGCTAGTATCATTCAGCCCTCTGTGAATAGCAAGCGACCATCAGGGCATTAACGATTGGCTGTTAGTGTGATGGTCCTTTATCACGTGAACAGCTAGTTTCGGCTGTGACCAGCAAACTAGTTGATCCACTATGCTAGGTGCTATTTAATGGACTGAGTTTGGTGCAGCTCCTCAGACTGACAAAGTCTTTTGGATAAAAGATGAAACGTTCAAATAATTTTTATTTATTAATTTTTTTAATTCGTCCGGAGGATCTGACTTAACTTTGTTAGAATTATCTGAATACTTTTCCCAGAAAAGAAAAAAACAGGCTAACTTCTTGGAACTAGGCCTTGGAGCGAGGGTGATCGTGCCTTGGCTCCTGTGGCTCGAATGGGCAAAGCCCAAAAACAAGACAAGAAGTCACCACACCGCAATCCTATCACTTTCCAGGAGATCCACCAAGATCAGGAGTCATGTGAGCTGGGTGACATGCAGGTGAGTAAAGGTGGCTCTAGATATGCATAAAGTCAAATATTTTATTAAAAAAAAACACAAAAATATATGGTACAAACAAACAGAAGGAGATCATCCCTAATGCCCAATAACACACGGTAAACATTGACTTACTGAGTCAGTACATTTTGCTTAGCGAATAATCATTGTTATAACCTAAGTTTGCTCTTTCTGATCAGTACACTGGGAGTCCTGCTGTGTAAAGTCCAGATTGAAGTGTTTATCAATCCTATAAGAAAAGCCTGTTTGTTCCATCTGGCAACACTCAGCTCCCTGACAAGATGCAATCACTTCTGCCTTCATTTACTAATCAACAGGCAGTCTCAAGGCTTGGACAATACTGCACAATCTAATGGGTAATGTCAGTGGCAAACATGTTAAAAACAAAAACAAATGGTTTTTAGCAGTGTGCACATTAGCTCAAGTTATATATCTCCTGCATGCAATAATAATAATGAATTAAACTGGTGGGTTCTGATTATAAGCCATGTAGGATGGACAGGAAGCAGATTTGCACATTTGGATCCATGCCGGACTCTGGCTTTTATTTTTATATAATAAACAATGTGTTTAGCAGGACACAAAGTGAGGAAGTGAGATTAGACTAGATGCGTTTATACAATTTCTTTATGATTTTTATTTTTTTTTTTTTTACTACAGGTGTAAAGAGACAGAGCTGTTCTTCTAAGAAAGGGTTATATTTGTTTCAAATAAAAACATTTTGATGATGTAGAGTGGCTGAAGTTAGCTTTAAATTTATTAAATTTTATTTTAAATAGTATAACTTCTTGTTGATAATAAAAAAAAGAGCTGCACAGTAGGGAGGAGCTTTGTGCTGTTCATTATTCTCCACTCTATAAACATGCATGTTGCGTTACTGACCAAATATTGGATGTGCACAGCTGTTTACACTGGGTACATTTTTAATCCACATCATAAAAGACCATTTTTTTGTGAACAAGCAACATAGTTTTAAAGATCCAGAAAGGAAAAATATAAAAAATATACCAACTTTGAAGAGCAGAGGTTTGCATTTTAAATAGCACAAAACATTTCCTTCTTTTCAGGAGTATTTTTATTTCTGGATACTAAACATGCCGGTAATAAATAGGGCCAGAAAGGATATACGTGTTGCACTTGATCTGTAAATATATACAGTATAATCAGTGCTCGCTGAGTCTGCATGCTTGTTTAGTTTGTACAAACATGTAGCATCAAGGAGCGCTACATGTTGAAGAAAATTAGCTTTTACTACAACAAACACTGACTTGCTAAGATTTACTGCTGTCAGATAGAGGGCTCTGCTCCACTGATTTGTTTCGATCAGTTCAACTGTGTGTTTCGACTGCAAGCAGCTAGGGCGGCTGTGGCTGAGTGGTTAGAGCAGTCATCCTCCAATGCAAGAGTTGGGGGGTCGATTCCACCAGCAGTCACATGCCGAAGTGTCCATGGGCAAGACAATGAACACCTCATTGCCTCTGATGTGTGTCCCATTGGTGAATGAATGTGATAATGCACTGATTAATCTTTGTAGAGATCTAATAGAGTGCTGTATGAATGGGTAAATGAGGGCACAGATTATGTTTTAAAGAGCTTTGACTATGTTGATAAGATAGAAAGGTGCTATATAAGTACAGTCCATTTACTGATCACTTCAGTACATTTTACTGCTACACATCCAAACACCTCAAGCTTAAAGAAAGCTTCTAACTCAGCTCTATTAGCTCTCAGTTGTGTCAAGATGAACTGGAAATCGTCGTTTAGTCACTTCCTACTATTTGTTCAGATTACAACTCTATGGTATGTGACTGTGTAGCGCATTAACATCGAGTGCAAGTAGAATGTGTCCTTAGTCCTGGACTAATGTTTCTCTCACCTAACAGACACCACACACCCTTACAATGAGGTTAAATTAGGAATAAATAAAACTGCTGGTGGGAGTGCCTGTAGTTTAACTGAAAGTTATTTTGAAAACTATGCTGTGACATATTAATGAACAGGTCAGTAATGCCACTTTAATTGGTAATATGTCACTTTATCTGTGCTGCTAATTTCTAGCCTTTAAGCTGCTGTGTTCATACCCATCTGCTCACTACAGACTCATGTTCAGGCTGCTGTTTAATACACCGTATTATATTACATTATAATTGTTAAAGTGTATATCTTAGATTCTTGTATACCGTTTCTTTTTTTATACTTTATATTTTTGCTATTTTTGGGTGTAACTGGGACCTTGAGTGCACAATTTTATTCTACCTCATGTACCACATGTGGTGCGAATGACAATAAAGTCACCTTTATTGTCAAGACATTGCGTGTCACATGAATATACTGTATGGGCTAAACCTGCAACATTTACACAGTTGAACCTGAGTTAATTACATATGTCAAATGCTACAGCTATTACATACAACCAAACAAGGGGTTCAGCAAGAGGCAATAATTTGACTTTAATCTGAACTCAAGCAGCAAATATAATCATTTTTCATAACATACTACTTTGTAATTAATATCTCCAAAATCGAACAGTTTTTACAAATTATGCTGTGGCCCTGTGTTGTTATGAATGCTTAAAGACTTATTTTATTCTTTTCACAACTCAGTACTGAGATGTAAGTCTTTGCAGGACCTCTGTTTATCAGAACTGTGGTGGTTTGAATCACACATCATTTATCTTACACTAAAATTCAAATGTTTTATTGAAGCTTATTTGGCATAATAGGTTCCTTAAAATGCAAAACATAAAAGGTCTAGTTAGAAACATAACATGTGAGCAGCCCTCTGCATATTTTCTATGTCATTTTCCTAATTCAGACACACATTGCATGTGTGTGTGTGGGTGTGTGTGTGTGTGTCTGCGATCCATTTAGTATTCTGCTCAATGATCGTATGTGTGCGTACGGGCCGTTTCCACAGAGAAGGACGTAAGCGCGTGTCAGTGACTCATCACTGTATCAGCACACTGTGGGGGCGTCGACCTCGCTGTGATGTCAGTGTTGCCATGGAGACGACAGGGCAAGGGAGGGGCTTGGGTAAAGATGGAGAAAAGGATAAGCACCAGGTGATGGAGAAACAACGTCTCCGAGTGACGAAGGATCCTTGACTTTTGGAAAAAATGCAGGCAGTTCTGTGTAGTGTGTATGTGTGTGTGTGTGTGTGTGTGTGTGTGTTTTCAACTGCAGGATTAAAAACCTAATAAACTGCAGAGATACAGAACAACTAGAAAGTGCCATATCTCAACAGCTTTTTAATCAAGTTTTATAAAAATAAGATTGTATTAAGCGATGCCTCCCTCTGTGTGTGAGCGTGTTTTACTCACCGTCGGAGCAGAACTGATCCCTCGTGCACAGTCTTCTCTCAAACAGGCAACCTGACGGAGAAAAACAAGAACAGGGACGACAGATTAAAATCTTCCTCAGTAAATATGTGGTCAAGCAATGGGAGAAACTAAATTTCGAGGACATAAATGTTGATAAAAATCAGCCTAATCCTTGTAGTCAATAAAATGAGCCTTCCGTTACAGCGCATCATTAAATAAAAATAACAAAATCTGTCTTAAAACTCTCAATTTGTTGTCATTTTTATTTGTGCTGAGCAAAAAACATTTTCAAAGTTCCCTCATTCTTTTCAGTCAACATCTCCTGCTTCATTCACTCCAAACTTTTGGATCTCAGTGACTAAAGGTGTGAGCGGTGCTGTTTTTTGTGTCCTTTATGTTTAATTTTTCATTCTATTTTAGTTCGGTGAGTAAGACCTTGGAGGGTTAGAAGTGTGGGAAGAAGCAGGTGGCTGATAGGAACCGCAGCACAGCAGTGCAAACATTTATAACCCAGTCTGGCTTTTTTCTCTCCCATCTCAACTTGGGTCTTTTTCTGTGGTATGTACATGAAAAAGGCACAAATATGTAAAAATAAAGAAACATGAATTGTCGAAATATATGAGGGAAACAAATCCCAAACTGGATAGGAATCAAGCATTTTAGCTGGAAAGTTTTCATTTGAGAAAGAAGTTGAACAAAGAATAACAAAAATTGAAAAAAAACAGAATACTTTTCAAATTAAATGACACTTTCATCCTTCGAGAACAAGCTACACATGCAATGCAAGTATTCTTTTCATGAGTTAAACTATTAAAATAATCTTTTCTTACATACAACGTTGCCCCATTTAAATCATATTCTTGTGGCATTAAGAACGTCAGCACACCAACCTCTTAATGGCCTGGATTTTCCTGTAAGCATCAAATAAATCTTCAAAATAAAAGTCGAACACCTTAAAACAATGCACCTCACCCAGCACCTTCCATGCTGTAGCTTCAAACAAAAATCTTCTTATGATTCATGATAAGTGACAGAGTTGTAGCTGTTTTGGTTGAACATTGTCATGAGGATCTCATGTGATATTATGAGATCTATCAGTGCTCAGAGTGTGTGTAAAAGATGAGTCTCTGCCACTAACACACCACATTTTAGCTTCGTAGATGTAAAATTGACAGAGTTAGTGACATTTTTGTATTTCCTTGGACCAGTTTGCTGGGGCAGCCATCTTGAATTGGGTTGACTCCAACACATTTTTATTGTAAATGCAGATTCACTGATTACTTTTAAAGAGGTTTTTTTTTTTTTTTTTTTTATCCACCAGTTCAGACATAAACAAAAACACTGTTGCCTCCACCTTTGGCGGTGGGCAATAATAAACCAATGGGGGAAGTCAAGAATAATTCAATTCAATTCAGTTTATTTATACAGCGTCAAGTCACAACAGAAGTCATCTCAGGTCACTGAACAGAAATATTCATATATAAAAATAATAATTTCACATTATTTATCAGAGGAGCAGACTGCTTTGAGTTTAACTCCATCACAGAAATCTCATCTTGAGCAAGCATGAAGGCGACAGTGGAAAGGAAAAACTCCCTCATGAGGAAGAAACCTTTAGAACCAGGCTCAGGACAAGTGGCCATCTGCTTCGACTGGCTGGGTTTGAGAGGAACAGGAAGGAGGAACAGATACACAATGGCAGGTCCAGAATCACGTTAAGAAAGAAATAGTAGCAAGTTAAAACTATTCCATTTTAACAAATAATTTAAGGAAATGAGGTTAATTATCCTCAAGTAGTCTAAATTTAAGACAGCATGACAAGCCAACCCTAAGTATAGGATTTATCAAAAAGGAAAGTCTTAACCCCAGTCTTAAAACTGGTCAATGTGTCAGCTTTACGGACAGAAACTGGAAGGTATCTTGTAAACGAGTCCCCGAGGCTCAGTGGGATTAACCTGTATAAATAAAGATTGAATGAATAAGAGAGGAGCCTGATAACTGAAACATCTTCCTCCCATTCGGCTTTTGGAAACTCTAGGAACCGCGAGTAAGCCTGCAGTCTGAGAGCGAAGTGCTCTGTTAGGAAAATATGGAACAATAAGATGTTGAATATAAGATGGAGCTAGGTTGTTGAGAGCTTTGTAGGTTAGAAGTAAGATTTTGGGTTACATTCTGGATTTGACAGGGAGCCAGTGGAGAGAAGCTAAAACTGGAGAGATATGATCTCTCATGTTAATTGATGTCATGGACATGACATCTGCAAGCAACAACATCTGGAAAGTCAGATAGCAAATCCAGAAACACATCAACATTTTATTATTTTTGTACTGCATGAGCAAAACACCAGCACAAGTTCACGAGTTTAACGTCATCTGAATGGCTCCAGGCCCCATTATCCTCCTTTTTATGCACGTAGAAGAGAAAATGTGCAGCTAGAAGTGTAAAATTGCACCCATAGGTTTCACTTAACCCCACAATCGTGGTCAGCAACATCAGCGTTTGTCATAGCAACAGGACATCTGCTCCTCTGGGAAACAACTGGTTGCCAAGAACATGAATATTATACTGTTTTGTGTGCGAGGATGGATGGTTGGACATATGGATGGACAGCTTATGAGACGAAGAGTGGGATGAATTATGTGTGAAAAAAATAAAATAAAGGTGTTAATAGATGAATGAACAAGAGGAAGCAACAGTAGCCACAGATTCCTCTCCAAGGTGATGAAATCTGAGACACTTGCAAACGTTACTGCTTGTTGTTCTGAATTTATTTCACAAGGAATATAATAAATGCACACATGTCAGTTACTATTTGTCAAATATGCAACATTCATATGTACTGTATATGAACATTTATGTAAAAAATAGTGTATTATTGTTGCTCTGATTGTTTCAGATGTAAAAATGTGTCTTCAAACAAATGTTTATGTGATGTGCAACACATTTTAGCAAATTAAAAACACAAGCTGAATGTATAGAAGCATGTTAAATAACATATATGATTGAATATGCATATATGCATGGGGTGGGGGTAGGGGACTGATGATGCTCTCTTGTTTTCTTGATGGAGAGAGGAAGTGCAAGAGAACAACAATCAGGTTGTTTGTTTCATCTAAATGACTTCAACTACATGTTCAGGAGAAGCATGCATACATTTACACAGGGACCGTAAAAAGACAGGCGGGCATCAAAAGCAACTACATTGGTTTGTCTTTCACAAATAGCAGCAGATCATCAGCTGATGCAAAATGATCAAGCTCAAATATGCCGTTGCTGTTATTACGGACTCAACGTTGTTGATTTCTACTGCGGAGCACAAAATAAAAAGATGACGAGTAAACAGGTTAAGACCGTAATTTTAAAGTTGTTGTTTTTTTTTCCTTTCTTTTCAGTAAAGAGCATATTGAAGAACATATACACAAGATAACAAGAGCATATAGAAAGTTATATTTAATCAAGCCTTGCTTGTTTCTAACTCCTGTATTTTTATTATTATTATTTTACATATTTAGAGCAGGAGGCTGTTTTTTCCTCTGTTTGACATAGAATTGTAAAAAAAAAATAAAAGCACAAGCTGTGTCAGGTAACTACTATAATAATTTTTTCAAATATTCCTATATGCCACAAATAAACAAAATCTCCTCTTCTCCATCATTCCATAGGTTCCATCCTCTGTGTTCACACACAGACACCATCTTTAACTTAAACAGAGGAGCACACATGTGGATGCTCCCCAGCATCAGAATCATCTTACCGTATTTCTCAGAAGATGCTGGTTGGTAAAGCACCGCCAGAAGGAGCAGAGCTCGCCATGGCTTCATGTGTTGCATGATCCTCCGAAGCTTCGCAACCGAAGGATGGAGGAGGAAAGATGCGGAGTTTGTAGGAGAGAGGGGGTGACGGGGGGGGGGGGGGGGGGGGTGTAGTAGTTTTCACCTGCTTTAAATCTCCATAATTTTCAAACGGAGCCGTGATGTCGACAGCTCAAGGAGGGGAGGAGTAAAAAAAAAAAAAAAAGACAAACAGAGTGATGTGGAAAATGAAATGAAATCCTCCCCGATGGGCAGGGAGGCGGAGGAGAGGAGGGACAGGGAGCTCTCAGCAACCTGCAGCGACGTCATCAAAACAAGGGGGGGTGAAGGGGGGGGGAGGACAGTGTATTCATGTTCCTCCCGTCCCTTAACGTCATACGCGCGTATAATGCTGCGTGCACGCACAGGAACACGTGGAACGGGCTTCATCCCGCTGCATCAAACAGTGCATGTGAGCGCGGGCGTCTGTCATGTTTGCTTTAATAAAGCTCCAATTTGGAGTGATTATAAAGTCACGCAGAGCTGGACTAAAGTAGGTCCAATTAATATTTTAATAAATATAGGCTATGCCACAAAATATTTGTTTTCCAGGAGAAATAAAATATTTAAAAAAAAATCCTCCAAAGTCACTTTGTGGAGTAAAGGATTAAAACTAATGGAGGCCATAATTAGACACAAGCTTCACAAATACAGAGGAAGTGCATGTCTTGTTGCTGTCCTCTTGCGCCCTCATGTGTCAGAGAAGACCAACAGTTTGTCTCGTCCTGCTTTAGTGGTTCCCAAATTTTCTTATGAGCTCCACCTCAGAGGACACTAAGCTGTCCCACTATCACCATAATGGCACAAGCTTTGAAAAAACAAACAAACAAAAAAAAAACAGCATTGCAAGTTTAGAAGTCTGTTTGCATGTGACACATTAAACCTCACTAATCAGAAGAAGAAAGAACAAGGGAGACGGCAAGGAATAATTTAGCAGATAGCATCCATCCTGTTTTTCGTCAGTTTGAACCTCTGAGCTCAGAAAGGCATTACAGGGTTCCTCTGGCAACAAAGAACGTCTATAAGAAGTTGTTTATTCCGAGTGCAATAACCATTATTAACCACACCAAATGATAACATCTACCGGTGGTATGCAAAATGTTTTATTCTTTGCACAAATTGTTGTTATTTTGATTGTACGGATGTGTTTTATTTTATGTTTGGAGAGCTGAAGGAAAAATTCCACCTTGGTGGACAATAAAGTTTTATCTTATCTTATCTTAATCCTCCACCTCTAATCCTGGTTAACTAAGATATGATGGTTCCATTCTTTAGGTGCTGAGATCAACAAACTTTAATCTCCTCCTTTGCCACATAGCAACTGCATGCAAGTTTGAGATAACCTGAATCAAACTGCATCAGTGTTTGCACCTGCGGTTGCTCGCAGGTCCTGTAGAGACTTCACAGGTGATGCTTTCAGCACACCATCTGCTGCAGCCTGCACACTCATCTTTTTGTCTGTCTAGTTTTTAGGCTTACATCACATTCTAGCATATGATGGTTAATTAACTTGCTACTTAGATTGCAAATAGTTAATACCAACATGTTTTTAATTGCCAATAGAGTGCAATAGTTTGAGAACCAAGGCCTTACACCGAAGAGGCTACAGCTAAGTACAAGTGCACCTAGACTTGAAGCCCATGGTGCAAATTTAGCAAATACAAAAGATGCTTCAGCTCAATGAGAGTGTACACATCTACTGTTCTGACAAATGGGTGCTCATGTCAACCAGCAGTAATTGCATACAAAATAAATAAAAAAAAAAGTCAGGATGGGAATAAAAACAAAACGGGGATGCTTTAACATGGACTAAGTGGAGTTTTAGTTTTTAAGTTGAAATTCTTAAAATTGTGGCAGCTTACATAAATCTTCTGTCAACATAATGACATCCTACAAATCACAGTTTTGTTATTAAAATATCACTAACTATATGAATTTATTAAAGATAAACTCCATACATTCTCCCATTTTTTAACATCCATCCATCCATTCATCCAACCATCCATCCATCCATCCATCCATTGACACATACATACTTCATCACTAAAACACTGTATTATAATGTCTGCCCTCTAACCTTTAACTGGGAAGACTTTTCATTTCAATAAAAACATTGCTGAAGCTGATATATCACCTTTGATTTTTTTTACAGTACATTAGTAATGGCATAAATGGTTTGAGCAAGAGGCACAGTTTGAATGCAAAACACCAACACAATGTTCTATCAATACAAATTTAAAAAAGCTAAGAAATTTACATAGAATCATAATAATCCTCGCATTGCTATAAATAAATGTTTGTCACAGTTTTGCAGCAGTTTGGTCAGTACATTTTAATAGCATTATACTAGTACTTGTACTTGTATTTGCAAGCTCTTATTTGTGTTAAATAGCTTGTCCAAGCTGTACTGATGGATGTCTGGGTCCGTTTAGGTACTGATACAAAAAGAAAGCAACGTTCTGTCTATTGTAGTGAGACTTCTGAAACAAAACCCCTCTGCTGATCTCTATTTCAGGCACATTGCGGCGCTGCTGGTGTCTGATATCGTTCCTAAAATAGTGCTGGAATAAATCTGACAGGTTTTCCTAATCATAAACCATGTCTAAAAGGTTGTTCAGATTTGTGTGTGTGTGTGTGTGTGTGTGTGTTACACGCTTGCATGCAATCACAACTGTGGAAGGGCACAAACTGTCTCCTTTGATCTTTTCTCCTTTTAGTCCTGGGGTCACTCGTCTGCAGCCGCTCAACTCTTTGGCATGTGTGTATGCATGTTGGGCCTGTTGCTAAGCAACGTGACTTTTGCATTTGCTAACCCCACCTCACCTATAGGTGTAATCTAAACTGTTAATTTCTTTCATGCTATTTTTCACCTTCGTTGTAAAAGTTTACACCACCCACTGAAAGAAGGGCTTTGGTTTAGTCAACTTGAAGTAGCAAGAATTAAAAAATAAGTCCAAAATAATCCAAACAGTTTTGTTATTCCCATTGTTGAGGGGAAAAAATAATCTAAAACAGTTTATCATCTTGTTATTTGCCATACATGACTTCTGACAACACCAGGATCCTGCAGCCAGAGAATTTGCCACAGTTCATCTGAGGAGCTGTCACAATAACGTTCATGTCCACATGTGTTCCCAGACTGACTCAATTAGAGCTGGGAGGGAGGAATGGTTTGAGGGAGGGGGTGGTGGCATGGGGAGCCGTTGCCGAAGATAGTTCTGTTTGAGTCTGACTTTATGTTGGGGGTTTGTTGTCATGGACTACCTCATGGATCAGGTTTCAACCACACACACGCTCTTTTTGAGTAAAGATAAAAAGCCAACTTTTTCCTCATATTTTAACTTATCCAACTTTGAAATTTGTTATTATTCTTAAATACAAATTTACAATATTGGATCCGATTCAAACTACAGATTCACTGTGTGGATTCAAGATGAATATTGACATTCTGACGCTACGTGATAAATGCTTTCCCGGTAATTTTGAGACTTAAGATCTAATTTAAGAGTGCCTTTTCTGGGCGGTGCTTGAGGATGTTTTAGTTTAGAGTCTGGGGTTGTTAGGCAACTCATGGCTGGTTCACTTTCTGTCCTGATCAGATGGCGTATTCAATGGGAAACCACCAGGATGTTTGTTGAGCTCATATCAACTGTTAACATAGTTAAGTAACAACATTTGAGTATCAGATTCATTTTAATCTCTGGTGGTGACCCCACCCCTTCATGCACACACACTGACACAAAGATCATATTATAAAATAACAAAGAGAATTCATTCTAATGTGACAGTATGGATATTTTTTCATTTTAATTTTCAATAATCTTTATTATCCCCAAAGGGCAATTTCTTTCACAGTCAGTAGTCACACAAAACATTCATACGAGACAAGACATTTGTTGAGAAGCCTGATCGCTACAGGGATGAATGAGTTTTTCAGTCTGTTCGTTCTACATCTGGGCAGACACCTGCGTCCAGATGGAAGCAACCTGAACTCACCATGGATTGGATGATCAGGATCTGCCAGAATCTGCCTGGCTTTGTTCACTGACTTTACCTTATGTAGGTCAGTGAGTTTCTGTAGGGCTGTACTGTATTAAAGTAGAGTTTTTCCAGGGCCAATCTGTTTTAAATGTAAAATTAATTAATTTGTTTATTTGGAAATAATCCAAACAAAGTAGTGGTTTTTGAAAGATCGCAAAATATGGAGATGTGCTTTCAATATGTTCCATACTTAATTCTTCTTTTTTTTTTTTACAGTATTCAACGTTTTACATGCGGCTATGCTAATATTTACGAGATAGAATGTATAGCTTAAAATGATGCAAATGTCCTTTACATATATGAAACTTAAATTATTACATGTAAAGATGTCAGTTCAACCTTTTCAGGCCACAAATGCTAAATTCAATTTCCAAGCAAATGTATTCCATGTTTTGAGACACTTCCTTAGAGATGATGCTCTGGAGGTAAATTGAAATTGGAGATTTCTTCTGAACAGTGTGTAATAGCTGTAATTAATTTTCCCTTTATGACAATTAATATAATGTGCATCACTGGATGAGCTATAACATTTGACATAGCCGTCATATTTTATTCTCAGCCACAAAAATAAGCAATAGAGATTTTTTGACACTACAGCAGCTTACAACCTTAATATTTTTAAATAAAAGAAATGTCAAGAAATGAACACATTAAGGAAATTATGCCTTTAACATTATAATGGCACTTTCATAGCAACCAATTCAACAAACCTGTTTGAAAGTGAATATTGTTCAACAATGTTCAGTCAGGTCATCTGGATGGCTTCTGTCTTTCTTTTTTTGCTGAGACGTTTCATCCTTCTTCAATCTGAGAAGATACCAAACAAACTGATTCCCACAAACTGTATACTCAGTGGAAAAAAAAAAGTTTGCTGGTGATAAGATGGCCTCCATGGCCTGCCCTCTCCCCCGTCAACTCCTCTGAGACATGCCAAAGTGGTTCAAAACACCAAAGTTCATGCTCAATAATAATGCAGGTAGAAATCCAACAAGGTTTCATCTGGATGGTTTCTTTTTTTTTTTTTTTCTTCTGAGATGTTTCATTCTTCATTGTTAACTGTTAGCTGCTAACGGTTAGCACGGCTCACTAACTGGTCATTTTATCGACAAATTTGTTCTTTGTAACATACGAGAAAAGCTCAAAACAGAGGTGAGAGCTTAATGCTTTGTTGTGTAGTAAATGTTTTGTAGATTTTCAGCTTTGAAACTTTTTGAAAAATGTGAAATGCTTTGTTAATTTGCTCTTTGCCACTATAAAAAGTACTCGATGTTGATTGATTTGTGTTTTGAATGAGCTCAAATCTTTTGAATTTGATTCTATGAGCCCATCCATTTTTTTGTTTAAGCAGTTGACACATACTTTTTGCCATAAATCAGCGTGTGGGACTCTATCTTCAGTCTGGTGTCCTTACGGGACAGAGGCCAAACAGCCAAACGGGAACTCTAAAAATAGGGCTGACTCCACAAGCAGCTGACATGCAGGCTGCTTTGTGAAGCACAAATATGTGCATGACCACACACAATGACCCATCCACCATTTAAACCCATATATATACACACAGAGTCATTAACACCACGTTTCTTATTTAAAGCCAGTGGAAGTTAGTTTACGTGCCAATTTGAATTAAAATACTTACTCATTTCCCAGGACATTCTTGTAAAAGAGATTAATAATCGCAATAGATTTCTTCCTGGTAAAATAAAGGATTAAATAAATGAATGAATAATTCCAGCTGATTCTGCGGAGAGTGTTGTTACTGACAGGTGGCGCTCGAACTTTTGATCACCCATTGCCTTTGTGTGCTTTTTACTTCTGTCTGATACCAAAATATTCTATTGATAACTGGATGGATTTTAATGAAACCCTCATAAAGTAATTAATGAATGTAGATCTACAACTGATTAACTTTTGGAAACAATCTGCTCCAAGATGGACGTCACAGCTCATTGATCCTACCAAAAAAAAAAAAAAAAAAAAAATGACTATAACACAGTTGATTTTATAGAAATTGATCTAAAGTTTGGTTTGGTGCAAGCTGAGAGTCACCCACATCCCATACTTTGAGCATTAACAGATCACGCAAGATATATGTTCAAAACTTTAGCATGCAAGGCTGCAGACAATGTTCATTCCTTCAAAGAATGCTAATTTCGTTTAGACTCGTCAGTGTTTACGACACAAAAACACAAAGCTGTAGACGTGACCCTCGGCAGGAACAAGTAGCCTCATAAGTTTCAGCTACAGCTGTTTAATAGATTATCAGCTTACATGTTTGTACTAATATACTGCTGGTGACACAAACACTGCCTTCCTGAAGACTTTTATTTATTCATTTATATATTTATTTTCCGTTTAGTTACTTGTTGCTGACCAAAGGTCAAACACGAGCCACAGTTCACAAGAATGTCTCCAACTGTATTATTCATTATAAAAATATTATTCTCTTGTTATCCAGAACACGTAGTCCTCAGTGACATTTGCTAAAATATAATTAGTAATTTTCCATGCGGCACTGATAGCAGCTTTGTGAGCCTTTGCTATGCAGTGCTGTAAAGTCACAGAGGAAGTTGTGTGTGCTAAAATTTCTTCATGTATATACATTGTTTTTTTAAAATTATTACAACATGCTAAAACAATTTGAGTCATGCAACCTTACATGTAACTTACATTCAGTTTGGCAAAATACTCCAGCAATGCATTTGACCACACACACATAAAGGTCTACAGTAAAGGTCACACACACCTTTTGAGTGTGTGAGACTTCCATTAGAAACATTTATGGATCTCAAATGCTCCGTGTGTGTGACCTTCAGGGCAGCAGCTACATCAGTCAAACTGCTTTACTTCTTCTGCAACATACAGTAAACAACTTTAACAGAAGTCATCTGGTGTTACAGACTCAAGTAATATAGTTGATTTATTTACACAAATATATGTTACAGACAGTAAATAAAACTGAATTTAACTAAACATTAAGAAAAAGTGTTACTTTGCCAAGCAAATATTAGGAAATTGTCAAAGCTTTAGAATTTTTAATATGATATTATGTACATAAAGCTTTGAAAAGAGTCAGAAAATCTGTCATTGTGCAACTTTTTGTTTTTACTTTAAACTAGAAAAATGCAATAAACTTCTCACTAAATCAAGGTCAAGGTCAATGCTTCTTTATATGTCATTCGCATCGCATGTGGTACATGTGGTGGAAAGAAATTATGTACACAGGGTCCCAGTTACATCCAACAAAAGTATAAATTGTAAGCAAAATAGTAATAAGATCTAAGAAATGAACTAAGAATACGCTAAACGCTTAAACACTAAATCCACCCAGTTAAGTTGTATCCCTTTTGCTCAGTTTAGTTAACTGTAAAATGTAAAATGTTTTAGTCTGTCATGCAGTCTCAGTTTCTCCTAAGATACCTGAAAGAAGAAATAACTTGAAAAGATGTTGGTTAAAGAACGTCTTATCAGAACAGTCTGTTTTAAGCCTACGTTTATATGTAGAGGCTCTAGTTTTATAATAAACATGTATATGCTTTATATATTACGATAACGCTGTACCGTATTTTTTGGACTATAAGGCGCACTTAAAATCCTTAATTTTTCTCAAAAATCAACAGAGAGCCTTATAATCCGGTGCACCTTATGTATTAATTCTGATTGTGCTAAGTGACCTAGAAACAATTTTATGTAGATTTTACGTAGATTTTATGTCGCCAATTTTATATTTTACATGGCGCTAAAAAAATCTGTCAAAATGCTTTAGTTTTGCTTAATGCGCCTTATAATTCAGTGCGCCTTATAGTCCAAAAAATGCAGTATATAAATCATGTATATTTAGGTATTCATGTTGTTTTAAGGCATAAGACAGCTAAAACTTAACTTTTTTTTTTAAAGATTCAAATAAAATGTGGTACATTTTAGTCCCTCGCAGGTTAAATTAATTTAATAAAGAGTCTATGTATAGTTTGCAACACCTTCCTATGATAAACTCGTGGAATGACTCAGCCTTTTTCTCACTCCTGCAATCATCGAGACAGTTGTAGACATGGAACGTCTTCCCCAGCAGCTGAAACCCGAACCCGTCAACAGCTGAATTCAGGGTCGCAACAGGCGAGAGGCAGAGGGATGGGTTTAAAGATAAACGTTGAAAGGCATGTTTCACATGCTTGGAAACATTCCCTAAAACCAGAAGGAGTCAAATCGCTGTTTTTACCTTAAAGTAACTGCTTACACAAAGCATTATTTGTGAAATTTAAATCAAATTGTGTCAATAACAACAGGTTATTTGTTAATTGCACAATAAATCACAACAACAAACTGATGTAAAAATTAAAATGATTTATTAAGACAATAATCTGTTAATAATGCAGGACTAAAACAGAATATTAACACCCACATTTTACCCAAAATTCTTTATGACAGTTTTATGACGATCAGATAAATGTGAGGCATTAAAATATATATAATAGATGTGGAAATCTTCCAGTTTGATTGAAACTGCTGTCAAAAAGATCAATAACTGGAAGTGACTGCAGCATGATGGGGCGGTGGGGTGGTGTGTGTAGGAGCAGAGGGTGAATGGAGCCAGATGGGTGACACAGAGGAGGGGTTGGGGGCAGGAATGGGTGTGGATGGGCTACAAATAGTTGCTCTCAGTGCCTGGTGTCTCCATTAAAATTTCCCTCCGTGAAACAGTTGGGTCTCAGCCCCGACAGCAGTTCCTTCAAACCTCCAAGCCAACCGAGCGGTCAACCAGCCATGAGCAAGTCCTACTCCTCCTCGGCCCAGTCGGCCTCCTCATATCGCCGCACCTTTGGCACAGGTGTTGCTTCATCACCGATGTCAGCCCTGTTCTCCTCCATGGGAGGAGGCCGTGGCTCCTCTTCCAGCCAGATGTCTTCTAGAGTCTACGAGGTCAAGAGCACCGGTTTCCCCTCCTATTCTAGCTCCAGGGTGTCGGCTGGTGCTGCTGGAGCAGGGTTCGGCTCATCCACGGCACTGCGCACCTACACCGGCGAGAAGCTTGACTTTAACCTCGCCGATGCCATGAACCAAGACTTCCTCAACACAAGGACCAATGAGAAGGCCGAGCTTCAGCATCTCAACGACCGCTTCGCCAGCTACATTGAGAAAGTGCGCTTCCTGGAGCAGCAGAATGCGGCGCTGACCGTGGAGCTCGAGAAGCTGAGGGGCCGCGAGGGGCCTGGCCGTGTGGGGGAGCTATACGAAGAGGAGATGAGAGAACTGAGGAGGCAGATTGAGGCCCTCACCAACCAGCGTGCCAGAGTGGAGGTGGACAGAGACAACCTGGCCGATGATCTGCAGAAACTCAAGATCAGGTAAGATGAAAACACAGAGAAATAAAAATGTACATAATCTGTGGAAGGAGTAAATACATTTGGATCTGTAGCTTGTAACCCTTTTAAATATAACCCTTTTTATTTAATTTAATTCGTTTGAACAGTTTGGAAAAGCCTCAGAAAGGGGTTATTTTTTGTATGGGATCTAGTCATGTAATCCCAAAACTTTACCCTATGACCTCTTGATGAGTCACAACCCAGAAAGAAAACTACATCATGACACAAAGATGTTTTTGGAAGGCAACGTTTGCATATATGAAAAACAGACAAGTAGAACCAGCATTTTCCCCTTGTTTCTTTTCTTTTCTTTTTTTTTATAGGAAAATTCGAACACTTGGTAACTCATAAGGGATCTGAGGACAGATGTGTTACATTTACAGTCCACAGCTTCTTGTTCACAAGAGACATAAAATAAGATAAAAAGAGTGCAAGCAAGATGTTTGCAGACTGATAGGCGTGAGGTTTAGACAGACAAACAGATAAAGTTTAAGCCAGACAGGAAGCAGTCAGACAGTAAAAGGAGTTGACAGATGGAAAATCACATTTTTTGGCCTTGGAAAGTTGATCGAGGGAGTAGGATTAAAAAAATTAAAAAAAAATCTAAATGCCACTAAGATGTCCACAGCTGAGAGAAAACGGACAAGTGGTGTATATTTGTATCTGCAAGGTCAGTTCTGTAAATCTGGGATAATTCTATAAAGCCACCGTGTGCACTATCACTATCACTCACATTAACGTGTGTATTGAAAACCCACTGCAACACACTATCAGTTCCACTTCGCACAAACACACACACAAACTGCAACTCTTCACTCTGTTTATCAGCTCTCGTCGAGCAGCTGCTTGAAGCTGCTAGTGAACTGTGCCAGAGCACTTTCTGCACCCGCTGAGATCAAAATCCACACAAACCTCCTGTCTGCTCAGCCACAGTGCATTAAAATACACACAGGCTGTTTTATGGAACAAACTTGCTTTAATCCTTCAAAAATGACCAGTTGTACACATTTAACATCTGTGTTGCCTGCAAATGTGTCCGAAGAGGTGAATTTATATTCTGTTTGTTGAAAGTGCCTCAGTAAAATGCTAAATTTGGAAACAGCTACAGTCAAGGGAAGCCTCTGCTCCTTACTTAATTTTACCCCTCACACAGAGTGACAGCAGCTGCACCACACCTGCAGGGCTGATAGAGCAGCTGTGGAGCTGTGTGTAGTTAAGTGGAATTTCAACAGAATTCAGTTCGTCTCTGTTCAGTCCTCATTTTAAATGCACATGGAGCTTTAAAAGAGATATTAGTCTGAAACAGTATATTATGGTTCATTATATTCTTTTGTTCTGATTTTTCCACAGACTGCAGGACGAGATTCACCAGAAAGAAGAAGCCGAGAACAACCTATCTGTTTTCAGAGCTGTACGTATTAAAATTTCATAAAATTATAGTTTTTTTCAGTCAGTTTTCTTTGTTTGCATGTTACATATTTGTTATCATTGCAATTTTTGCTTCCAGTTTACTTTTAATTAACATCATATTTTTCACGGGGGGTTGCTGCTGTTGTTTCCAGGATGTTGACAATGCGACTCTGGCCAGGCTGGATCTGGAGAGACGCATTGAGAGCTTGCAGGAGGAGATTGCCTTCCTCAAGAAGATCCACGAAGAGGTCGGTATTTCTGTCAAAGAACATCCTACACTGTTATATTGACATGTTTATAAGTCTCTATGGTGTTTACTATGTTATTTATCAGATTTGTATAGGATGACACACAGCTCTGTAATATTAGATCAGTCCCTATAAACATGCAGCTGTTAAAGAGATCAAGTGTCTCAAAGTCAAACACTGTTCATTTTAAATTATAGTATTTATGTTTTAATCTATGCGCAGAAAACTGAGTAGGTTTTTACAAAGAGAAATCCATGTACGCACAGAAAAACATCACTTATGGACACTAATATCAAACATTTGTGACCCCCTGTCAGCACAGCTGAAGGTTCGTCACGTCTTCTTGTCTGTTTGTCTCAACTTCGACCTTTCAGAAATGCTGAACTGCTGATTGGTTGAAAAAGCATGGCAGCTGTTGTGCGATACAGGAAGAGTGTGTGTGGGTGTGTACACGAGTTAGAGCAGATGCAAAGCTATTTTAAACTTTTGAGTGAACCAGTCGACAGCTGAGTGCAACCAGTTGTGTCTAAAATGACAACTTTGGCATTTCCTTTAAGCACGTTAAACTTCTACAAATCTAGTCGTTCTTTCTAATTCCCCGATCTTTTATTTTGCCAAACTCCCGTTTGGTTGACATGAATCTCGTCTTCCTCCGGTTGCCTTGCAGGAGGTACGAGAGCTGCAGAACCAGATGCAGGAAACACAGATCCAGATCCAGATGGACATGTCCAAGCCCGACCTGACTGCTGCTCTGAGGGACATCCGCACGCAGTACGAAGCCATCGCTGCAAAAAACATTGCAGAAGCTGAAGAGTGGTACAAGTCTAAGGTAAAGTCAGAGCACACTTACTGTATATGTGAGCTCATGTCAGATTTATCCAGCTGGGTTAACCCCCCCTCACCTATTGTCTCCTCAGGTGTCTGATCTGAACCAAGCAGTGAACAAGAACAACGATGCTCTTCGCCAGGCCAAGCAGGAGAGCATCGAGTACAGACACCAAATCCAGTCCTACACCTGTGAGATCGACTCTCTGAAGGGCACGGTCAGTATATCGTGCACACTCCTTTCTCCTAATTCTGTTGTTCAGTTCTGAGCCAGTGGCACCGTTTCATCCTCATCTCTGTCCTTGCAGAACGAGTCTCTGATGCGCCAGATGAGAGAAATGGAGGAACGCATGGGCCATGATGCTGCTGGTCACCAGGATACCATTGCACGGCTGGAGGAAGACATTGCTAAGATGAAGGTAATAAGCTTTACAGTATACAACCCAAAAAAAGGCTGCAGATCACAGATTTAGAGTTTGTGACTTTAGAAATTAATACAAGTTTGATCAACTAATTTTATATAACCAGTATTTTTGGTTACTGTGTCATGTTCTTGGATAAATGCTTATTTTAAACAATACATTTGATCTCAAGGATGACATGGCTCGCCATCTGAGGGAGTACCAGGACCTACTCAATGTGAAGATGGCCCTCGACATTGAAATTGCCACCTACCGCAAGCTGCTGGAGGGAGAGGAGAGCAGGTTTGTGCTTGCATTGCTTATATGACTGAAGATATTTTAATTTTACATGAGTTTTTTGGGTTTTTTTTTTTTTGGCTTGATGTAAGATAAACTTTTAATGTTTTGTCTTGGGTTTGATTCTCCCTGCAGGATCACATTGCCTGTCCAGTCTGCCTACTCTTCCATTGGATTCAGAGGTACCAAGAATAGTACACTTTCTTATTTTGCACATAAATACCTGAGCAATTTGTTTCACGTTCCGGAAGAGTCAATCGGAGGGATCAAAAAGTCTAATTATAGCATGTGACTGTATATGGTTGATGCTATTTTAAGGGGAATTGCATGGAGGGCATGAGCAGTGACACATTTTGCCCACTGAGTGGGGATGTTTGATGAGTCAAAAGCATGGCCTCTTCATTTACAGAGGTCGGCTGTTTAAATGTGCAATAAATGTCTGTTTTATAGAAGCAAAAAACGTCCACAATAGATCATTGTTTCAACAGTAGAAACAAAATCTCTGGAATATGTGTTCAGTTTTTGTTAGAGTTATTTCATTTGATAGCTTTGCATTGTAACGTACAGAAAGCCAGCAAATGTTCAATATACAAATGATTGCCTTATAATTTAATAAACTGGGCAAGTTTTGTGACTATCTATTAGATGTTTAACCCTGTTCACTTTATAACGTCTGCACAATGAGCAACTTGAAAACTGGCTGTGTTAATTACAGGTCCGTTAGCTTCTTCAGATCAATATTGAACTGATATCAGTGTCTCCAAACTGAATTAACTCACTGTAACTGAGGAAAACCTTAACATGTGAGTTTATTGCATCCTTACAGAGACCAGTCCTGAGTCCCAGCGCCCATCAGAGGTTCACTCCAAGAAAACTGTTCTCATCAAGACCATTGAGACTCGTGATGGAGAGGTTTGAGCTCATTTACACACCAACAAATAAAAAAGAAAACATACAAAACTAGCAGACTTTAGCCCCATAGCCATCATAACACAAATACTGTGAAATAATCTATAAGGTTTGACAATGCTTTTGCAACAAAAATCATTTTCATATATTCTAGATGAAGTTTTCCATGAGCCAGGGTGCCCAGTGTGTAAGTCTGGTTCAAATGCCCCACCTAACTTCTTATTATCTGCTCACATTACAAGCCAACTAACATTACAGTTGTCTTCAAATATAATGTCACTTGATAATAATAATAATAAAATGACACCACAAATTGATTTGATATTAACTAATATATTGTCTGTTACATCTGATCACTTGTAGTTTGCAGAAAATGTGTACAAACACTTAAAAGAGCAATGTTGGACTGCTTCACTGGCCTGCATTGCACTTTACTCTGAGTCCTTTCTGCACAAATTATGACTATATTGTCACATTTTGCAAATAATAAGACTTGTTTTAGTTTTTCTTCACATTAATTAACATTCTTTTTGTTTCAGGTTGTCAGTGAGTCAACACAGCATCAGCAGGACATCATGTGAAGACCCAGCATGAAATAAATATACATATCATCCAGAACAAACATTTTAAAAGTTTCCACCACCATGAGAATATATAAGCTCAGCCAATGTTTAGTGACAGAAAACAGAATGTTATCTATATAGGTGAATACAGTTACGGAGTTAATACAGGCACAAAGCCGGGTTTAAATGGAGGTCATTCCAGGAGCTTAATCTATATTCTTGTCACTTTCTGTTCCACAATAAAGCATCAGACGTTGTAAGACTTTCATCTGTAATTCACTAGGCTTACTCTGCTGTAATGCTTGAATATGATGATGGAATTTGTCGGGATTCAAAACAAATAAATGTCCCTGAGAGACATTGGTCATAGGTCAAACAGTAAATTTAAGTGTGCATGTTCCAAACGTTGTTAAATGTACACGTAAATGACTGAAAATAATATTTATTAGGATGGGCTGTTTGTGCTGCTGTGGCTCCATGAAAGTTTAAAGTTGGATTATTAAAGAAAAATACCAGAAAAAAAGTGAAGCACAAAGGAACTCAGTCATGTTTGGAGTTTGAGCTGTTTAGCATGTGCTGGTTGTTTCACTGTATGTTTAAGGAAGAAACTGGTGAGCTGTTTTGTTTAATAAAATAAAATAAAATAAAATAAAATATAAAACCTTAACTAAAACATTTGTTACCAGTATTTTACTTGAAATTATTGTTTTTCCCAGAATTTGGAACTTAAAATCCTTAATGTTTGAATTTTGTATTTTCTGCTGTATGAAACTAAAATAAACTAGAGAAATTGCATTTCCCGCAAAAATGCTGTGTGAATGAATTATTGCAGAAGAACTTGCTGAAAAACAGCTGAAAAACATGCTGAAATGTAGCTGAAATGGGAGAACAATCCTAAATTACCAGAAGAAAGCAGAAGGAACACATATTGCTGAATTAGCTTAAATAAGTAGAACTTAATACAAAAAAATAAGAAATTAGGTGAAATATCTAAAAAGTAGCTGAAAAGGCAGAAAAAAGCCTAAACTACCAGAAGGAAGCTGAAAGAACTGAAATGAGCTAAAAATGTGGAATTAGCTGAAAAGCTAAAATTAGCACAAAAAAGCTAAATTGTAGCATAAATAACTGAAGAAATAGGCTGAAAGGAGCATAAGAAGCATAAAGAAATTAATTACGCTGAATGTAGCAGAATTTACTACAAAAAAATCTAGCAGAAATTAGTTAAAAATGCTAAAAGGGTAGCTGAAAGGGTTAAATTAGCAAAAAAAAATCAGAAAGAACACGTTTGCCCAATTAGGCTTAAAGAAGCAGAAAAGAACAAAAGAAGTGGAAATTATCTGAAAAAAGTAGAAATTTGCTTAAAACAGCTGAAAAGTAGCTAAAAAAATACAGAAAGAAGCTTGAATTACAAGAAGGAAGGGGAGCGAACATATTTTGTTGAATTAGGCTGAATATAGTTTAAAGAGTTCAAATAATGTGAAATTAGCTGAAAAAGTTCAAATTAACATAAAATGGCTAAATGGTAGCTGAAAAGGCAGAAAAATAATAAACTTGTAGAAATAAGCTTAGAAGAAGCACACACATATTGCAGATTGCAGGAAAAACCTGAAAGGAGCACAAACAGCTGAATAAACAGCTGAAATTAGCTGAAAGTAGTTAAATAAAAGGTGTAAATTTGCACAAGGCAGCTGAAAAAAGGTGAACCAGAACAAAATGTGAAAGGAGCAGTAAAAGGTTGTAAATAGATCTAAAGATATGAAGGATGTAAAATGAGCTCAATTCATTTTCTATGAGATTGAAAGTGGCAGAAAAGGCTAACTCTTTCAAAAAGCTAAAGTTGCACCAATATCAAAAGTCATAGCAAAGAGCTGAACGAGCTGAACCTTTTGATATATCATTTGTTGAAATAGCACAAAAATTGTGGAACGAGAAAGAAGCCGAAAAATGTACAGAAGGAAAATGGATCTCAATTGTGTGAATGCTTCATAAACATTCACACAACTATCTTTCTCGTTCAAATGTAACACTCTTCTGCCAACATTTCTTTCTATCCACCCAGGAAAGAGAAGCTGAAACAGTCAGGACCGTGGCTGATCCACTGCAGAGAAAAGAGAACAATGGCTTGTTAATGAGCTGTCTCTGATCACGCTTTAGTTTCGGCAGAAAGCAGATTCAAAGAGCAACACAACTCGCAGTCTGTCCATTTGTCTCTGAAGCCACGGGAGTGAAAATGTCAGCAAAGATGATAAAAAAGGAGCACGAAGAGGAGAGGACATAAAAGAACCAGAGACAATAAATGAGCATTCGGCAGGCAGAAGACAGAGAGGGGGAAAACAAGAGCAATGGAAGGGACACATTTAATGAAAAGGGCAGGAAGATGCCAGAAGAAGATTTAGACTGAGAAAATTACACAGAATATAATAAAGGAGCACACAAATAATAGAGTGCATGGCTGTTCTAATTAGTGGAGCTGTGTTGCTCAGAACTTTCTGTTCTTACCAGTTTCTTTGCAGCTTCTGTCAAAAGGCAGCAGTTTCCCAGTCATTAGGCAGGAGGTCAACAGCAAAGGGCACGTTCATCTGTTCTGCTTCCTTCAAATGAAGTCAGCTCACTTCTGTGATCTCTTCTTACGCTGCGCTCCTTGCATGCAACCCTGGAAGACTTTTATATCAAAACCTCTGATGGTTTAACCAGATTTGTAAATGCACTGTACTTATATAGCACCTTTCTATTTTATCAAGACACTCAAAGCTCTTTACACTACAATCTGTGCCCTCATTTACCCATTCATACAGCACTCTACTAGATCTATGCGAAGAATAATCAGAGCTTTATCACATTCATACACTGATGGGACACACAACGGAGGCAATGAGGGGTTCAGTGTCTTGCCCAGGGACACTTCAACATGTGACTGTTGGTGGAATCGAACCCCCAATTCTTGCATTGGAGGACGGCTGCTCTAACCACTCAGCCACAGCCGCCCAGTTAGTTTGTAAACAGAATCAAACTGGTAGCCAGATTTTTCTTCAAGCTTTAGTGCAAATGTAACTTAAGAAGTATCGTTACTTGATAAAAAGCTCATGTCATGTGACATTTTTCTTCTTCTTTGCAACAGGTACAACAGTGAAAATATGGCACCGTTATGTATATATATATATATAATATATATATATATATATTATATATATATATTATATATATATATACATATATATACACACACAAATCACTTGCATTTAATTTGATTTTTTTTTAGATTTGATACTTTGTGACCTTTTTTCTATATTTTGATGTGATTAAGAAAAAATTATAATGAACATATGGTAAATTATGTTTCCCCCCAACATTTTATATTAAATCTGGTCCTGTGCAAAGTTATTTACTGTACACAGTAACTTGATAGGTGTACACAACACTGATAGTCCATAAAACTTCTGTAATAACTATTACTTACCTTAATTTAAGAACAGTAGTTTAAAGCTAGAATAAGTGAAATCTTACATTTATTAAAAAAAAAAGAAAAACAGTTAAATATATGAAAAAGAAGTTGTTTTAGGTATTGTCACTTCTAAATATAAATTCACATTAGTACAAATTTATATGAATAAAAATTCAGTTGGGTGACAAACATAAGCAAAAATTAAACTGTGTTTTATATTAGTTTAACAGTTTCCATTTATTTTTTTTAATTCCTAAAAAAATTAAGGAAGATAAAACAATCTTAATATCAAATGTAAGGTAAAAACCTAAAGACTGAAATGGCAACCTCTGCAGATTGTTTACAATTATAATCAATTCAGCATTTATGTTATTATAGTATCTTGCATACATATTAATATAGTGTTGATTAATACTGTATATGCTGATATGATGCAGCTGCCTGGTCATTTGAATTATTTTAGAAGTCATACAAAGATGGTATAAGTGGCTAAAGTATCACATTTATTATTATTATTATTATTATTATTATTATTACTGCTACTAAGTAGGTGAGATGTACACACAGAATAAAAAAAATACAGAGCCATGGTTCGGTTTTCTGCTGATTTTCATCATTGCATGTTTAAACATCTGTATAAGTGGTGTATTCACACCCAGCAAAATTAAATACATACAGTAATTTGACAGCATGACAGGTCTACTCTGTTAGAAAATAACCAGCTGCATAAATGAAATACAATAAGAGGAATGAGCATGGAAATGGGGTCAAATATTTGCACATTAAAAGATTATTTACAGGTAAGTATCTACAAAACTAAAGCTCCAACATACTGTACACAATTTAGTGAAAACTGCAAATGAACACAAGGTCAATGCAAGACTTTTTAGTTTTATCCCAGATTTACAAGTAAGAGAGGAGCGGATAGTAAGATTTTACTTTTTTTTTAAAATAAAGACATGTTACAGCTTCACTACACTAACAACACAAAAAAGGATCCAAACCAGGACAGGGGTATAATAAGCAGAAACGAAATGACTTGTGCAACTATTACAGTGAAAAAGTTATCAGAGTACCATAATAAATCAAAGCAGAACCCAAAGTGGCTTAACTTAATGCATGTCCTTTTCAAGGCCTGCACAAGAACGGTGTAAACAGGTAGAGGGGACGCAAGAGAAACAATGAGAGGAGGTTTGTATGCACCTTTTGACAAACAAATTGGATAACTTGTAACAATGACACAACACAATAAACACTTTTACAAGTACTCTCATGCAATAATGGAGTTTGACGTAGATAATTGGTCCTGTGGTAACAAAATCCTGCAAATGCTGATCCAAGTAGGCATATGAGTGGTACAGAAGCATTTCAGGTTTTTTTTGTTGTTTTTTTCTGAAATCAAACCTCAAAAGTTATTCAGGCCTGGAATTCTATATACATTATTAATGACAATTTTCATAACTTCCTATTTCTGTATTTTCCTCCATTGGAATAATTTCATTAGCTGTGTTAGTAATCATACAGATAAAAAAAAGGGTACCACTTTACAATAAGGCTCCCCTTATACATGGCTAATAAATAGTTTATAGATACGTTATTAATTCCTCTATAAGCACTTTATAAATAAGTAGGAAGTGTTTATTATGCATTAATTAAGGATGACAGAGAGCTAAAACTAACCAGTTTATTGCCAAATAGTGACCCAAATCTGTTCACCTATACATTTCATCTAGAGTTGTTATATTAAACATTTCAGACTAAGTTGCTACCTTTTAAGCACAATAAGCATTTGTAAACCTAATTTTTTTTAGCATATAATATTGTACTTTATCACTAAGTATCTACAACTAATATTATATCCTAAAAATATTAGGTTTACAAATGCTTATTGTGCTTAAAAGGTAGCAACTTAGTCTGAAATGTTTAATATAACAGTCCTAGATGAAATATATAGGTGAACAGATTTGGCTCACTATTTGGCAACAAACTGGTCAGTTTTGTCTCTGTCACCCTTAATTAATGAATAATAAGCATAGGCCTGTCATGATAACACATTTTGCTGGGCGATGAATTGTCTCAGAAATTATTGCGATAAACAATAACATTGTTTGCAATTTGACAATAATTAGTAATTATTGTCAAATTTAGGAAGAAATGTTGATTTTTTTTGGCTGTAGTACCTTTTTTGACCGTTGGATGGCAGTGAAGTGACTGTTTGAACTGAAGGATGGATAGTGAGGGAGTGAGCAGCATGTCTCTAAGAAAAATGGGAGGGAGGCCCCTTGATGTGACATGGGCTGTCTCTCATTCCTGTTTTTCGGTTCTCAAAGTGGTGGACGCTCAGTGTGGTTTGAGCTCTTTAGCATAGTATTTGTCACACAAAGCTTTTAATAAAAGTTCAGTAAACAAGTTCTCAGCTTCTTTTTGCAGAGGATAAACAACTTTTTAGACAAAAGCCACTTTTAACTAACCAAAAAACGCCATTTTGGACGGTTAAAACAGAATTTAAAGAGAAAAGAGAAAGGGAGGGGTCAGTGAAGAGCACCAGAGTTGAGCCTTTTGTCGTCCAGTGTCTTCAGTAGAAAGAGAGAGACACGAAGCAACGATAAAGCCGATAAATGAAAATGAGGTCGATCATTTGAATTTATCATGCGATTGATTTATTGTTTATCATGACAAGCCTAAATAAGCATTTATTAATTATTTATAAAGTGTTTATAGAGAAATTATTACTGTATCTATAAACTATTTATTAGCCATCTATAAGGGGAGCCTTACTGTAAAGTGGTATCACGAAACGTTTTGGTAATGCTCAAATAATAGCCCTTTTGTGTAGAAAACCCCTCCTGTTCATATTTTTGTTTGGATGTTTTTACAAAAATATTGATGCAAAAAGCACATTTCAGCTTCAAAAAGACACTCGCACGTAAACTCGTGCACACAAAAGCATACGCTGACGCTCTAGAAGACAGGTCCAACAGTAAACATTAGAGGGTGCCATTTGCAAACGCGTTCACCTCCTCCTTTTCAAAGAGGATAATCCTAATCTTAAAACTCTTCTTCATCACACATAATCCAAATGAAAGAAGTTAATATTTTCAAGCACACCAAAACACTGGCAAAAGAAGATGAGGAAGGGAACAGCATGCTTGTTTTTAAAATAATCTTCATCACCCTTGTAGTATTTTGTACAATCTATCAGCCTGAAGCTCATCCAGTCACACATACAAACAGTGAAATTCTTGGATGACAACAATAAGCAGCTCTTTGTCTTTAACAAACCCCATCAGTGCATTATTTCAGGAAAACAGGCAAAAAAGGGAATTGATAGCACTTATACATATTTTAAACTCTGGGGAAACTGGAAAGACGAGGAGAAAAGTGTATTCTTCTTAAGTTCGTAGATGGAAAAATACGAATACAGGGATGCAACGGCAGTTATGACATGTAAACAATCCCCCCTTGGAAAATGGCAACAATGCAGGAAATGACACTAACGTATGAGAGAACTGAAATATATTTAATTTGAATCATTTGATTTTGATCCACACCTAAAACTGTTCCACTTCTGATGTTACACAAACCTTGTGCTAGCATGTCTGCAGGTTATCATCAAATATGTAATGTCAGTGTTATAAATACTTTAATTCACACAGAGATTTTCCAATTAAACAAGGAGTTCTCGTATGTATGAAAGCCCATTTCCGCCAGTGAAAAGAAATAAATCGTCCAATGATATGTTATAACATTGACTTTTAAAGTCATATTTATGGCGTGCCATTGGACGATTTATTTTATTTCCATTGGCGGAAACGGGCTTCTATAGTCAAAAAAGGTTTCAGCACACCTGTCAAGTTCTGTGTTAGTTTTTTTTTCTTCATTCCCAAAAATTCCCATTGCAAATTATTGAACTAGTTCCCTTAATCACATATAAAACAGGTCCATTTTCCCAATTTTCTGGGCAGAAGGAAAAGAACTTGGGAGCTAAATAACGTATACAATGACCCATAATTCAAATTCTTCAAAATGCTTTTAGTCTTTCTAAAAAAGCAGAATGGGCATGAAACAAACCAAATAAATGTAACTTTTGTGAGAATAAAAACACCAAGTCATGCCACCGTCAGAGAACAATAAGCTCTTGTTGGGTTACCAGGCAGGTGATTACGTTGGCACGGCAAGGTCAAGTTAGACATCCCTTGTGGCAACTGAGTTTTTGAAGTAGACTTTGATTGTGTTTGTGTTTTGATTTGTGCAAATCTCTGGCTCAGATGTGAACTGCAGGTCCGCTGGGAGCTGTGAGAGGCACTTGAGAGCCACAGTCGTAGTCCAGTTGAGCCATTCGAGAGCGGCTCATTCGACTGTGGGAGTACGACCGTCTGTCAGATTGTCTGTCTCTGAAACTTCTGATGTAACTCTGCGGACACAGATTTAACAACACACACACACACAGGGACCTGTTACTGATAATCAAAGAGTATCAAAGATTTTCAGTATGTCTTGAACTAGTCTCATTTGAGTAGTTTGTGCTGCGGTGCAAAATAGTGAAAACTGCTGACTAAGATGATGGATCGATGGAAAACAAAAAGCCTTCAGCCGTTCAAAGAAACAGTTCTAACAGGAAAACCATATCTGCTCCATTTGTAGGAAGTTGTGCAACAATAAAAGGAGAAATGTGATTCATTATATTTCTAAGAGGTTTTTTTTCCATCCCATTGAGGTAAAAGGTCAAACTGAAAATAATTTATAAAAATAAATATATTGTTAAAATAACCTAAAATGTACAAGGCATAGACTTTTTCAGTGTAGTACAGCCCAAACTGTTTAGTTTCTTAAAGCATATTAATACAGAAAGTTAAATCAAATATAAAATATACCGTTTTTTGAAGGACCCTGATGCATGCTCAATAATCCAGGTAGAAAAATCTAACAAAGTTAACACAATTATCTGGACGGAAAAAAAAAAATGTTGAAACGTTTTGTCTTTTTTTTAATTTTTATATTAAGTAGATAAAATAAAATAAAAATAGATAAAATAGATAATTTAGATCTATTTATCTTTTATTGAGTGTGCTGCTGATTATCCATGCTGCTGATTTCTTACCAATAAATTACTGTATTCATACCATTTGCTCACAGTAGACTCATGTTCAGGCTGCTGTTTAATACACCATATTATATTACATTATTATTGTTTAGTGTGCATCTTAGATCCTTGTATACTGTTTCTTTTTTACAGTTTAAATTATTGCTATTTTTGGGTGTAACTGGGACCTTGAGTGCACAATTTCATTCCACCTTATGTACCACATGTGATGCGAATGGCAATAAAGAACCTTGATTTAGTGTAGCTCCTCAGACTGACGAAGTCTTTGGATAAAAGACGAAACATTTCAACAATTTTTTTTTTAATCTGCACAGACGACCTGACTTAAATTTGTTAGATTTTTTCTTAAGTATTTCATTAAAACCATATATATTTAATGAAAGCATAGCACCCATTTGAAGGTGGTATTTAATTATAAATTATCAAATAGCTCACACCATCAAAAACCTCAAAGAACAAAACTTTTATAAATACTTAAATTCCAGTAATTAATTGAACTTAATTAATTCTATAACGCCGTCTTATTTATTTATTTATTTTTTCATCTTAAGACTAAATCTTACCGGAGACAGCACATCTCCATCAAATCGTCTTTTAGGGTTGGGTTTCCGGTGGTAGCCGGGTTCAGTCTGAGAAGGAGGAGGGACTTTAGGAGGTTGAGAGCTCTGGGTTTGGTGATGGAGGTGGGATGCTGTTGGGTGGTGGTACTGAGGATGGTGGTGATGATGGGTGTGAGCCTTTTGTTTGAGGGCAGTCTTCTGGTTCTGTCGTTTCTTCTTCTTCTTGTTCTCCTCCTTTTTCAGCTTCTCTTCTCGTTGTCGGATCCGCATGAGCTGGACCCTCCTCTGTTGTCGACTCAGAACCACTTAACGGGAAAAAGAACAGAATATTAATGTGTGGGAAAAGAAGGGGAAGAATGAGAACAATGGATAATCAAGAGGGAGTGACAGCTTTAACAGAAAGGCTAAAACGACCACTGTAATTTAGAAACAAATGGAACTGATTGAGTTGAGAAAAAGTCACATTAAAAACAAATAAATAAATAATAAAATTTAAGTGTTTTTTTGTGGGGGTAAGGGTATTCTAATTAGCAACTGGAAGTGAAAAGTTTTTCCCCAAAATTTAATTATAAGTGCAAAATGCGAATGGAAATACAAAAAGAAATTAATTTCCTAACTGCATAGTTGTGCATCCATCACATATTGTGAGTGGGTGAACGTGTTCTGTTAACACCCTTCCCAGCAAAGGATGTCCCACAATCCATCTTGTCTAACTACCCCTTGACTAACAACATAATAATTTCTTGGCTGCTCAAAGCTCCGTTGAGTCGGTGCTTTTATATAAATACAGTTTGCATCTGCTACGATTGTTCATTTCCAGCTTGTAAAGTAAAAATGTCCTCACACACCAATGATGCTGTTCAGGTTACAGTCGCCTTGACTGTTTGTGTGGGAGGGTGTGGATGTGTTGTAGGGCCCATTATTATTTCTTTGTGTGCGTGGACGTGAGGCACCATCTGCCAGGGAGACTGTGTAATAATACTCTCCTTTTCTCTTGTTTAGCTCACCCCATTTCAGCCCCCTCGTTCCACATGCCTATGTGTGTGTGAGTGTGTGTACTGTCGTATCGCTATATTTATTAGATCTCGCTTTAGCCCCCTTGCAGGGGGACACTTGGATAGCCCTGACTTATATGAAATAAATGAGAGTTCATACTTACTGGTACAATATATAAAGTTAATCATTGTTTAGGAAAAAAATAAGATAAAAGAAAAAAAGAAAAGTTAGTTTCTGAGCTATCCCACAAAGTTCAGTCAGGTCATCTGGACGTTTTTTTAATTTTTTTTATTGAGACATTTCGTCTTTCATCCCAATTTTTCCAAAATCGTCCTTTGTTGTGGCTCCCCGGACTGTTGAAATCCTTTGGATGAAGGACGAAATGTCTCAACAACAACAACAACAACAACAAAAACAACAACAACAACAAAAGAAATTGTCCAGATGACATGACTGAAATTTGTTGGATTTTTTAAAACCTGGATTTTTGAGCATGAACTTTGATGTTTTGAACCACTTTGGCTATGGCTGCCTAAGAGGAGTCGACGGGGGAGAGGGTGGGCCCCAGAAACCATCTTATCTCCAGCAAACTGTTAAGCCCACTATGCGAGTGTGCTGCTCGTGGGACTCAGTTTGTTGTGGCTCCTTGGACTGATGAAGTCCTTTGGATGAAGGATGAAACGTCTAAAAAAAATAAAATAAAATAAAAATAATCCAAATGACCTGACTGAATTTTGTTGGATGTTTTAATCTGGATTATTGAGGATGAACTTTGAGGTTTCTGAGCTAATTCATTGATTTTGTTTGTGTCAATATTTGACACATTGTTCAACCAGCTGAAAGATGATTTACCTCTCAGCTCCACTTGGGCGCCCCTGCTCACCCACTGAACCCCAGTTTATTACCTCACCCTTCCCCCAACACGTGTTCCTTCTCTACCCCATCCGTCTTTTCTTGTTAGTACTGTTTGTCACCATATAAGCAGTTGATATATTATTTATTTATTTAAATTATGTAGTCTACTGTCTGTCTCACATGAACCAGCTAAACTATTTCATTTTCTGGTCATGTTTTAAATAAAAAAAATAAGATTACATTGTCATTATTTCCATTGTACATTTTACAAATATGTTTTTCTTCCTGTTTTTTATTTATTTATTTAAAGTTTTTTCCAGTCAATTGAATTACTTTCCTCCAAAACTAGCACTAAAAGCTTCTTTTAACTCTTTCTCCATGTCTTCAGTTTGGTAGTCATGGCAGCCTGCTGGTAAATCCATTTAGTTGAGCTCATGTGTGACTTTTTCTAAAAATAAAAATAAAAATACAGCGCACATCAGCAGAGATCAATTGTAACGTGTATGCAAGTTATGTGTGTTTCAATAATAACTGTTAGTGAGCAAAAGACTTTACCCCAGTATATGTGTGTCTTTCTCCACACGTGATTGAATATAAAAGTGTTTACTTTGTGTTTATGTGCTGCCTTTGCGTACTCTTCTAGCATGTGAGTGTGATTGTGTGTGTGCGCACGCCATCTGTGTTGTGGTTGCTTTCAGCACAGATTAAGGCTGTTTCTGTCAATAACACATTCAAGTAAAAACACTAATACTTGTATATTTAGACTTTCACACACACAATGAAAGATATACATCTACCCACACGTACTCCGCTCTTGTAATGGTTTCAAATTCTAAATCAATAACAATGCTACACAAAATCAGGAATTATTTTTACCAGCTTGTAGTGAAATCAGTACTAATTAATGAGTACGAAATTGGTTTCTAAATCAGGAACTACGGCACCTTGAAACCAACAAGTTCCAGATGTTGCAAAAAAACTTGCCGTAATCTGATAATACATTAATTCTAAAACCAATTTAAGACCAGCCTTATATTTGTATAAATTAAATAGTTTTTAGAATGTTATACAGTTTATTACAAAATTTTCACTTAGTGAAAACAACCTCCGGGTACTATCATCTGTATTACTATAGAACTGGTACACCTGGTTGTTTCTTTTTAATGTTAGACCCCATGCGAGTGAATAGAGGAAGAAGGGTGACACTTGCCCCTCACTTTGCTAAAATTATTTTGCAGTCTTTAAACGAGGACACCAGCAGGTCATTTTACTGACCAGCAACAGCTTCATTAATGTTTTCACCTTTTAAAAATCAGCACACAGTCACTGAATCTGTTCATTACAGGGAACTCTGTACCATAACAAATGAATATTAATCCACATGAGCAGACCAAATTTGTCTTTGAAGTTTTATTACAAAAGTAATGAACAATAATGACGAAGAATAAGAATTTGGATAACTAGTTAAAAAAAGTAGTTGTGGAATAAATACTTATACTTGATTAGGTAATAAGGATTAATTAAGGAGTCATTCACACACACACACACACACACACACACACACACACACACACACACA